ACAAAATGAATTTTAACTTTAAGAAAAAGAAGCCTTATATAAAGTTCAAGTTCATTATCATGGGTGACATTTAATTTGCAAAGAATAGAACTATAGGACACTAGAGACATGATGTTCTCCATCTCCTTTTGGTTTTGATTTTTTTTTTTTTTTTTTTTTTTGAAAACACTCTCCATACCCTTGGCTATCCTTGAACTCACAGAGATTTACCTGCTTCTATGCACAGATTCCCTTCATTTTTAAATTTTAAAATTTAATATATCCTTGTGAGGTTATAAATTTTTCCTAGTAAATTGTAGACTGATAAGTCAATTTTCCTCTTGGTATGTGATATTCTCTGGTCACAGAAAGTGTTGTGAAAAAATAATTAGCTTATATAAATTAAGCCAAGTTCAAAAATAGTTACTTCACAAGAGAAAATAAAGATGTATTCACATGCTACTTAGATGAATAAATAAGTTTAGGAAAAACTTTCATGTTTATAAAAGATGGGTAAGAAACTCAAAGAACAAATAAAATTGTGTAATTAATCACGAAAATACATTATAACTATTTTTCTCTATAAGGCAATAAAAGCAGAGTTCTTTTCTGGGGACAGGGTTTGAGTCCCAGCACTCACATGGTGGCTCACAAGTCTGTAACTCTAGTCACATGAGACGCACTGCCCTCTTTTGACCTCTGTGGCACTGCAAGCACATGGTACAATGACATTCATACAGGTAAAACACCTATACACAAACCCAACACATAAAATAAAATAAATCTTTTTAAAAAAGAAATAAGAGCATTTGTTAAAACATTTTTATTTGAAGGTTTCTTTCTTTTTTTTAGGTTTTTCGAGACAGGGTTTCTCTGTGGCTTTGGAGGTTGTCCTGGAACTAGCTCTTGTAGACCAGGCTGGTCTCGAACTCACAGAGATCCACTTGCTTCTGCCTCCTGAGTGCTGGGACTAAAGGCATGTGCCACCACCGCCCAGCTTGAAGGTTTCTTTATGTTTATTATTATTATTATTATTATTATTATTATTTGGTTTGTTTGTTTTTTCGAGACAGGGTTTCTCTTTATAACAGCTCTGGCTGTCCTGGAACTTGCTCTGTAGACCAGGTTGGCCTCAAACTCACAGAGATCCACCTGCCTCTGCCTCCTGAGTGCTGGGATTAAAGGCATGTGCCACCACGGCTCAACTGGCTTCTTATGCAGCAATTTAACAGACTGAACATTCCTAACAGATAGAAATAGGGTCTTTGTACTGAAAACAGGGAAATAGTTACAATATTTTGTTCTTGGGAACGTAATAAATAAAAATGAGTATACAAGGGCAGCATGGTAGCTCACAGCTGCAGTTTCAGCACTCAGGAGAATGCAGTGAAGAGAGTGCTGTGAATACATGGCCAACCTGGGCTACATAGCAAGACCCTGCCTCAAAAAAAGCAAAACTGCCAAACAAGACCCTGCCTGAAAAGCAAAACTGCTGAGAGTAGTTAACACATCCCTTTAATCCCAGCACTGAAGAGGCAGCAGCAAGCAGACCTCCCAGGTCCAGGTCAAAGATACATAGTAAGACTCTGCTTCAAACAAACCACCCGCCCCATGCAAAAACAAGATGGAAAAAATATGTATATATATAAACAAGCAGGATTTTATTATCAATCACTTCAGTTCTATAGAATGTCAATTTTTTGAATGACTATATAATTACATGAAGGGTCTTTAGAGGTAACCAGTATATTTATAGTATTCCCAGAAATATACTGTATTACTTTTCTGGGATGCTTGAAATTGACAGATTAGTGTTTAGAAGTCTAAAATGTCCTTGTTATCATTGTTTTTATCTTTATATTTTAATGAAATAATACTAGGAAATTTTTTGTGGTAAATTTAGGGCTAATATGTAATAAGCAGTTGTCTTACATTTATTTTTTAGTGAAAGACTGTTGTAGCACTCTGGGGAAAGGACAAGTAATTATCTCTAAACTCTCAGTAATTTACCTATATCAGGTACTGCTCTGTAATGCTATATAATCTAAGCATTTTACATCTTAAATACTAAATCCTTTTTAAATCTCCAACTCAACTTATTTGCCAGTTTAACTTAATAGAGTTCAGTATTGCTCTGACTGCTTCTAATTGAACTTTCCATGATCCCCTCTTTGAGTTCAGTTAATTTTCTAGTACAGCAACTGACAGAAACACATTTACTGATTCATTATAAAGAGTATTTTAAAGCATGGAAATGAGTAGATGAATGAGTAGATGCATAGGACAAGATCTTGAAGCCTCAGTCTCCAGTGCGAGTTTGGCTGTGCCTCTTTCTTAGGACATGATGTGTTCTTGTTCACTTTCCTGGATACCTGAATTTTTATATAGAAAAAAAATTTGAAGAGACTTTAGATATGATTGACTAAATTTTTAGCTGTTACTACCTTAACCTGCAGGCCCTCTGCTCCCTGGAAGTGGGAGGATGGGGCTATGAGCACTAACCCTTTGAGGACACAGTTTATTCTTGTGGCAACCAGCCCCTCCGCCCATGTTGTGTTATTTAGTAACCCCAAAACACCTTATTAATACAGTATCATGTGGTTGAAAGGTGCTTATTATAAATTAAAACAAAACAAATAAACAAAACAGAGATTCTGTCCCCCCCCCCAAAAAAAAATAATACCAAGCAAACGAAACCTATCTTTCACCTTTATCATTCTAAAGTGGAAGGCCAAATATTTAACCACAGATACTTACTGCTCTACTCAACCTAGGAAGTTGCTAGGAGCTGTAAGCCAGGAAAATATATCAGAATATCACAACTCTATAATTTGCTGTTGACTTCATTATGGCTTTTCACATATACTTTTCCTTTGTCTTTGGCAGGGATCCCTGAAATACTAGTATTCTGCATTCTTGTGTGCATGGTCGTTAGAAAAGAGGGATGGGAATGCTTTAGAAATACAAATTCACAGCATTCATGCTGCATGTTTTGTGTGATCCACTGCAAATAGTGCATGCTGTCTCTGAAACTCAAGAATTCACAAGCACAAATTTTAGTTTCTTTATAGCCAATAGTTGGAACAGATGGAGGAACATTAGGTATATCTTTCCTATTTTGTCCAAAATAAACATTAGTACTTTCCAAAGGAAAAGAAAAAAAAAACTATATTTAAACCCAAAGTGGCTACAAATCAGCTCCTAAACTGTCATTGACATTAGCATCTAGATTTTGTAGTTTTTACAGATCTTTAAGAATATTTATTTACTAAGAAAACATTGCATTAATGCATGAAACAAAATTGATAATTTTTTCTTTAAATTGGAATGCAGTTTAAAAGTGACTGAGTTTTCTAATTTCAGCTACTCCATTTGATAAGGATACAAACTAAAAAGTGGAACTGGTATCATCTACTCCTTCAGGTTCTTTGACTTATGGCAGTTGGGAGAAAAATTTTGAGCGTGGCATTACATAGATCACATTTCCGATGGCTAACACGACTGTGCTCTTCAACCTTGACAACAATGAAAAATTTGGGGTGTTTTGATACATGCTTTCAGTTGGGTTCAGTTAATTTAGTAGCACAGCCTTTTTTTTTTTTTTTTAATCCAAACTGATTTTCTTACATTTTAGCTCTATAATTTACAATGAATATTGTGATTTCAATAATGTATATCACATTTAAATAATGTCACATCACATTTAAATTTTTATTGTGCAGTTTTAAAACTGTGGCATAAATGGTTATAGACACATTAAATTTAAGCACATTACCAATTTTTATTTATAATTGTATACAATTATATCTTGTACACAATAAAATAGTATTTGTGAAATTACAGGTAACCTCCAGCCTAAGCAATGCTAATGTGGCTAAGTTTATGTTTTTAGGGGCTAGAGTAGCAGTGTTCCCAGTGCTGCTGCTAGTTGCTGCACATTGTGTTCTGCAGAGATTTACTTAAATTCTGTTTTTTCCCCCTGCTGTGCATACTTGATAAATGATTTAAGATATTTTTATAGGAATTCTGGTGTTCTAGACATTTTCTTGCTTAATTTTTTTGTAGGCTTTAGACAGTAAGATTTGCTATTCATCACCATACACAACTAGCAGGCCTTTTTGAAAGAGAGCTATTGGGCAAGTGGCTAATTTTTGAGCACATGAGACTTTATAGTCCTAGTAGCCATGCTTTTCTGCTTTTTTATTCATTCGTAAATGATGGGTGTTTTGGGTTTTTTGTTGTTGTTGATACTCACGGCTTTGATGTGCTATTTCCAACTTTGAGATTCTCAGTGGCCAACCTGTTTATCTTCTACAACCAAGCATGTTCCCATTAAACCTTTCTCACCTTTATTCTCATGGATTTTACAGTCATAGTGATGGTACCAGTTCCATTTTGCCTCCAGTTCAGTTGATTATCTTTTTTTCCCTCTATTTATTTTTCATTTTATAATTGGTATCTGGAATAATCAGCAGCTCTTTTCTCATTTATTTTCTCATATTTTTATTCCAGGATTTGCCTCTGAAGCAGGGAGTGTCTGCATTAAAAATGACCTGTAGTTCTCTGCTTCATAGGTTAGAAACTTATTTTAATATTTTGTGGCTAAGCACAGTCCCACTTTTCAAATTTTATAATGAATTATTTAATTGGCATTGAATGTGGACCACAAACATATGTTTCATCTTGGGGTTTTCTGTATTACTTTAAATGATTAAAATTCAACAGAACCTTCAGCTGAGGCAATAAAAGCTTTATTCTTGCTTTATGGCTTAAAACGCTAAATTAGATTTTTAAAAAATTGTCAATTATAACAGAAGTAAAAATGCTATTTGGGCATTTTTAAAAATTGTATTTCGTAGGCTTTGTATTGCTTAAAGCATTTATATTCTAAAACTTAACCAAATTCCAATTATTCATTTTGGGGAAAACAATCAGTTCACAAATCACATTTTCATTGGGACTGCTAGCCAGCATAGGTGAAAACATGTATAGTGTATTTACTCTTGGATTGTACACTACAGATGCTTCTTCAGCTCCCTCCTCTTCCTCCATGGGCGGTGCTTGCAGCTCCTTTACCACCTCTTCCAGCCCTACCATTTATTCTACCTCAGTCACCGACAGCAAGGCTATGCAAGTGGAGAGCTGCTCCTCAGCCGTGGGGGTAAGTAACAGAGGGGTAAGTGAAAAGCAGTTAACCGGTAACACAGTTCAGCAGCATCCATCAACCCCGAAGAGGCACACAGTTTTGTACATCTCACCACCACCTGAGGACTTGCTGGATAACAGTCGGATGTCCTGCCAGGATGAGGGGTGTGGATTGGAGTCTGAGCAGAGCTGCAGTATGTGGATGGAGGATTCCCCCTCCAACTTCAGTAACATGAGCACCAGTTCCTACAATGATAACACTGAGGTACCTCGTAAATCACGAAAACGAAATCCAAAGCAGAGGCCGGGGGTCAAACGACGAGATTGTGAAGAATCTAATATGGATATATTTGATGCCGACAGTGCCAAAGCACCTCACTATGTGCTTTCTCAGCTTACCACGGACAACAAAGGCAACTCAAAAGCTGGAAATGGGTTGGTATCCACATTTTTTAAAGTTCTATCACCATTATGCAAAACAAAAAAGTAAATCATTCCCAAATTTTCTTAATTCTCAGTTCAAATTTGCATATAAAGCAAAAAGTGCTAATTTTATCCTTGAAGTAAATGAAAATTTCAACTTAAAATAATCAACTTTTACTAGAAAAATAATTTTAAAATAGCAGTAGATTATAACAAAGTAATTTTATGGGTATGTTTAGGTGTGGTAGAAAAGATCATCTGTTTTGAAATAACTTTTAAACTTCAAATGGACTTATATTTTAAAAGAATTTAAAAATATCTTTACCTGCAGAAATAAGTAACAGTCTGATGATGCTAGCTAAAACACCTAAATGTTCTCCAGAATCTTAATTTGTTCATTTAATAGTTTATTTCATATGGTTCATTCCATTATATTTTTCAAAGAATTTTGTGTTTTATTTTTGTTTTTCATCTTTACTTGATGAAAACAAGAAAAAAACAAAAAACAAAGATGACTCCAATTCTCATGTAGGTTCCTCTATTTGAAACTTTTTTCCCCTTTGATACGTAGTTCCAGTTCAGTTCAGGACTTTGTTCCCCCTCTCTGATTCTGTTTCTTACTTGAAGGATAATGAAACAGGATCATGGTGCATATTTGAGCTTCCTCTTCCATCTGTGCCATTGGTACACTACTCACCAAGTATCTCAGTGGTTATATTATAGAATATTCCAAGTTATAATACAGATTAACATGATTTACTTTAGGATTCCTTTATTATTAATTGTAATATATAGTTGCTAGACTGTTGAAAATGAATTTTCTACAGTATATTCAGTAAAATTTAACTCACTAGATTTTGAGAATTAGTTTTTAAGGAGGCAGAATATGATTCTATAGGAGACCTAGGATCACTTGCAGTTCCTGCTTATTGAAAAGAAAAAAAAAAATTGTCTGAAAGCTTAGATTGGTGTGCCCCATGATGACATCTTTGAACTGTTACATTAAAAATCCAACTCAGTATGGTATTTATCATAATAAATATTAAATGTGTCTGCAAATAATTCCCTATGTACATTTTAAAATTACTATCCGTCATTTAAGTCTATATGTACTTATATTTGAAAACCCATAATGAAACTCATTTCCTTTTATTCTAACCTGAAAATTAATTTGAAAAAAATTAGCCTACTCTTTTCCTTTATACCTTTATTTAAAACTCCTTTAGAATTATATAACTAAATAATTAAAATACTTTATGGATTCAAAAAGTCTAGGTTATGCAATTTCCAAAAGAAAACAAGATACACAGCCTTTCCTATTATGTCACAGTCTAATAGTCCAGAACTTGGAAGGGGAGCATTTATTCAACTATAAAATGTAGGTTAAGGCTCTGAAAGATGCTGAACACCCCAAGTCATGTAAGGCAGTGTGACTGATAGTCCAGATCTGAAAGATGTGTGGATGTCAGTAAATATATGTGTTCTTATTTGGACTGCAGTGGAAAAGGTCTTTATAAAGTTTCAGAGAAAGCTATTTTCCTATTTATACTGAAATAATTATTAAAGTTTCCAGTTAAGGACAGGAAAGTTTTGACTTAGGGATAGCTAGAGTCAAACAGTGATTTACTGTTGCTGATTGAAAAGATTTCTTGACCTACATCTTTTCTGCTTCTGCTTTTGTATGATAGATATATCTTAGAAATGCTTTGAGGTTACCAGGGAAAGTATAATGACATTGGTCAAGACAATACTTTCATGAAATAATTCATGAAGCAGAAACTCCATCAAGCAGCAGAAGAAATGCCCATCTTCTTAGGTAATGGAAAAATATTTGACAATAGTATGTGGAAATGATGAAGAAAATTTTAATTTATTAGAAATTTATTGAGGAAAAGATGAAACCAAATGTAAAAATACATGGACAACCATTCTTAATCCATAATTCTAGTTAATTGCCTATTTTTTTCCTATGATGAGAAAGATGTTAGAAACACGAAGTTTTGAAATGTTTTGAGAGAGAAGTAATATAGTCTTCAATATGAGGTGACACAGTTTGAAGTTGATATAATGCTAAGTATTAAATGAACTTTCAATTGATTCCAGAAGAGCTTATTAAGGAAACTTTTTTGCTTTTGTTTTTGCTGACCGTATCGTTCTTAAATTCTTTAGCTAATGGCCTGAGAATCAGCAGCCCTGTTTCTTCTAAAGTTCTAGAAGTTTAGATATGATAAAATGTGGATATGAAAAGTCATTAGATCTTTTTGTAGTGAAAATTATTTTTATGACATAGACAACCTGAAGGACTATCTAGCACAAAAGAACCTTAATATCATTCTAAGCTAAGACCCACATCATGATAATTGTCTATGGTAGTTGTCCTATAGATGTCAGACTCCAGTAATGGAGTCCCTTCCTAACATGAGTAAAGTCCTGGCTTTGATGCCCAGCCCTGCAAAAGTCAATCAGTTCCCATGTAATGAATTGGTGCTTGCTTCATTTTTCTAAAGCTGTTTTACCTTAACAATTTATAAATTGAATTACTACTTCTCTAAGAATTAGTTGATGCTTTCATTGTTTTACATGTCTGCACATGTAACTATACATGTTTTCCATTTAAACCTAGAGAATAAAGAGAATTTTAGAATATAGTTTTAGGGCCAGACATGATTGGTGGTAAATTCATGTAAACCCAGCAGATGGGAGGCTGGGGCAATGGGCTTGTGAGAGGGAGACCAACCTGGTCTGTACTGAGTAAGTTCAAGGCCAGTTTGGGCTGTGTGGTAAGAGCTCTCTCAAAAAAAAGAAAAAAGAGAAAAGAAAAGCAGAAATATTATTTTCAGTATTTTAGAAATTTTTTCATTCCTTGTGGTCTTTTTCATGTGTGTGTATGTAAATATATTTGTGAATATATTTGTAAATGTATTTACAAATATATATTATATATAAATTATTATATATATAATATATATTAGCATATATATAAATTCACTCAACAAATATTCATTCCAAAGAAGATACTTATTTTTTACAGAAATCATTTCCATTTACTTTCAGAATACTTGTTTGACTAATACAAATATAAAAAGCATACCTGACAAAATTGGTTGTCCTATCATTCCCATTTTCTTAGTACTTCAATCTAAAATTTTTCATTTTTATTATGACTAATATATATGAACTATAGATATATTTGAAAAAATACAAGAAAGTAGGTAAACAATCCAAATCTAGTCACTCATGTAAATGCTGTTATCATTATACTATAATTTCTTTTAGTTCGTGTGTGTGTGTGTGTGTGTGTGTGTGTGTGTGTGTGTGTGTAGGGAGATATTTTTACATAGTTTCAATATACCTTTTTTCTCCCTTTGTTATTGAATCTCCTGTTTAAGAAATTGTATATACTCTTCAAACATTTGAATTGACTCAGAATGCTAAAAACAACAACAAAGAAAAGCCAACCAAACAACAATAAAAAAACAACAACAATGTTTCTTGTCCCATTTTTCCTGGTATTTTTGTTCATAGATTCATTCCTCTAGGGCTTTTAAAATGACTTACATATACAGGTAATCTTTGACATAATTTGTCAGACTTATGTGAAGGGCATTTCTTGTCCAATTATGGTATGGTCTTGCCCATCTTACTATTATAAAAACTCCTTTTCCTCTTTGCTTTCCTTGTCCATTTCTTTTTCCTGTTTGCCTTCATCAGCAAACATCTCATGTGAGCTTGCCCTGTAGTACTACTGACTTCTTTGTCAGTGTTATCCTTTCCTCCATACTTTTGCCCCTTTCCTAGAGAGTCATTTTTATTGAGTAACTGCCTTCTTTTCCTTTGTTTTTAATAATTTAAGGCAACAGCTTGGTTACACCTGGATGGGTAAATTTTAGGGCCAGGTTTAAAGCTGTTCTTCTGTTTTTAAAATCATAATATTCTTCTGGGGATCCAGTTACTTGGTTGTGAATAAAAAAGCATGATAGGCCCTGACTTTTTAAGAACATACATGGATGATTTTAAATCTCTTTCAATAGATATTTGCATTATATTAGTTACTTTATAGAAGTCCTATTCACAATTTTGGATATTATAAACAAATAAATTATTAAAACAGTCTTAGAGCCAGGCATGTGCTAAGGTAGGTGGAGGGGCAGTAGGATCCACACTAATTGGCCATCCTCAGCTATACAGCAGCTTGAAGACAGCCTTGCGTGTTTGAGACCTTGTCTTCAAAAAACTACCAAACTTGAAACCTCCACAATTAAAACAAGCAAAGGTACCTTTTCGATAGAGCTCAAACTATAAGATTTTTATTGAGCTTTTATCATTTAACCAGTCACAGATAAGAAGAATCTGAAAAAAAAATCATACTTATTATTTACAGTAAGCCTCATTCCCCAATAAAAATTGAATCACTGATTTTTTTAGTTATATAAACTTCTCATTTTGATTTACTGAGAAAGAGTTCCAAAAGGATATACTACATATACCTCCATTGTTGAATCTTAGACCTTTTGTGAGCTGGTTTAGTAGTTATTGCCATTCTCTCTGTTTTCTTTTGCTTTGAAAGTCTTATTAAAAAGTAATCATGATCTTTTAGCTTTGTCTAATCTCCAGTGTGATTTTTATGTTTTATTTTAACTGAATTCCAGTGTGAAAACTTGATAAATTATTGCATTGTTTTCCTTATACCACCCAACTTTTTTTTTTTTTCTGTACCCTGTCCAGCTTTCTTTTTCATGGCATATAGTTATATGTGGTTCAAAATATTTTAAAGATACTTTGGTTATATAGGATGTTTCTTCCTTAAGGCTGTATTCTATTTTATCAGTAATCTAAGCAATTATTTTCAGTGTTATTGCCTTTCTGTTTCTTCCTTTATCTAAGTAGCTTTTGTAGAAAACTGTTTTTGATATTTTCTTCCATGCTGTGCTTTGGTTTCTCAGAACATTGGACAACCAAAAGGGAACTGGAGTAAAGAAGAGCCCTATGTTATGTGGACAGTATCCGGTTAAAAGTGAGGGGAAGGAGCTGAAGATAGTTGTACAGCCTGAAACCCAGCACCGAGCTCGGTACCTGACAGAGGGCAGCCGAGGCTCAGTAAAAGATAGAACGCAGCAAGGCTTTCCGACGGTGAAGGTACTCATTTTATTTAGTAATGTGTAAAGACTGACCATGAGATGGCTTCCTGGGTAAAAGTGTATTCCCAGTACCCAAAGAAAACTGACTCTATATAGTTGTCCTGACTTCCACACACCTACACCGTGAAACACACATGCCTACATACATGCTCCCCACACACAGCCATCAATTAAATGTAAAAATAATACATACTTATGTGATGAAGTTCCTTCCATTTTATTAATTATTTTAACCTCAGAAAATGCTTCCTGGAATAAAAGGATAGAATTATTAGCTCAGTATAATAGAAAACAAATGTCTAATTAGATAATATTTGAGTTTGTTTAGCTGGTTTTTTTTTTACATTGTTTTTAGTTTTGCATGCATCATGTACATGGAAAACAATGAGTGTAACACAGATACAAACAATACATACATCCTTGTGCTTATATATACACATATTTATGCATATTTTATGAGATACAGGTTTTGGTTTTTTTTTTTTTTTTTGCGATATATAAACTCATAACTATAACCCAGGCTAGCCAGGAACTCAATATGTATAGTCTAGGCCAGCCTTGAATTCACGGCAAGCCTCCTGCCTCAGTCTCAGGAGTGCTTGAATTATAGGTGTGAGCCAGCATGCCTGGTTAAATTTTAGTTAGAAAGATGAAAGTATGTTCTGAAAAGAAAAAATTGGTAGCTCATCAATTATCTGTCTCCTTTGTTTGGTAGTGATAGTAGATTCACCTGAAATGTTTTAAGAAGAAATTTTAAAGTGAATTCAAAGAAACATAGTAGAAATTACTAAGAAGTTAGCCAGGCATGGTAGTACATATTTTTTTCTCCCTTCCTCTCTTCCTCTTCCTCCCATCCTCCCTCCCTCTCTCTCTCTCTCTCTCCCTCCCTCCCTCGTATGAGTGTTCTATCCACATGTACAATTGCATTCCAGAAGAGGGCATCAGATCCTATTATAGATGGCTGTGAGCCACCATGTGGGTGCTGGAAATTGAACTCAGCAGCCTAGCAGCCAGTGCTCTTAATTGTAGGCTTTTTTGTTTTGTTTTTTAAACTCTTTGCCCTTTGGGGACCCACCACCCAGCTCCTAAATAAATACATGGAAACTTGTTCTTATTTATGAATGTCCAGCCTTAGCTTGACTTGTTTCTATCCAGCTTTTCTTAAATTATCCAGTCTACTTTTTATCTCTGGGCTTCTACCTTTCTCTATTCTATATACCTTTCTTTCCTTCTTACTCTGTTGCTGGCTGGGTAGCTGGTCTGGAGTATCCTCCTTCTCTTGTTCCTCCCTCCTCTCTTCTCCTATTTTATGTATTCTCCCTGCCTGGCAACCTCACCTGTCCCTCAACTGCCTAGCTATTTGCCATTCAGCTCTGTATTAGACCAATCAGGTGTTTCAGGCTAGCAAAGTAACACAGGTTCACAGAGTTAAACAAATGCAACATAAAAGAATACATATCTTTGCATCATTAAACAAATACTTCACAACATAAACAAATGTAACACATCTTAAGCTAATATTCCACTACACTTAACTTCTGAGCCATCTCTCCAGACCCTAGTAGCTCATGGTTTTTATTCTAGCATTTAAGAGGCAGAGACAGGCAGATCTCCATGAGTTGGAGGCCAGCATGGGCTCCATAGAGAGCTCTAGGACAGCCATGACTACCTGTCTCAAAACAAAAGAACATGGAAAATAAGGTTTTTAAAGTTAAAGTTATCAGAATTACCTATACCTCTTGAGAACTTTGACTTGAAGTAAAATTTAATACCTTTTTTTTCTCTTTTTTTTTTTTTTTTTTTGAGACAGGGTTTCTCTGTGGCTTTGGAGGCTGCTTATATAAATATTATATGATACTTTAGCTTAGGAATCTAAGTAATTAAAATGTAGTTATTGTAGAACTAATACAGTATTTTTACTTTTAGTTGTGAGTCTTGCCTATATTTATTGAGCTATGTCTCCAGATCCCCCCTCCCCCACCCCCAAAGCCTTATTTTGTTTTGAGACAGTACTGTCTATATAGTCCTTGCTGTCCTGAAACTCAGAGATCCACCTGAAACTCACATAGATTCACCTATCTCTGCTGTGATTAAAGGTGTGTGCTACCATGCACGACTCTTGATAAGAAAATGTTTGGGCTAGGTATGTGGCTCAGGGGTAGAGTACTAGCCTAGCATTTGTGAGCACCTGGGTTCAGTCTTCAACAAACACACACACACACACACACACACACACACACACACACAAGAAGGAAAAGTTTTACTACTTTTCCTTTATGTTCATATAGTTTTAAATATAGGATTTGATTTGCTTTTTGAGATAGGGTTTCTCTGTGTAAACCTGGCTGTCCTGAAACTCACTCGGTAGACCAGGCTGGCCTTGAACTAACAGAGATCTGCCTGCCTCTGCCTCCAGAGTGCTGACAGTAAAGGTATGTGCCACCACTACCTGGCTAGGATTTGATTTTGAATGTTTAGTTTGTAATGAGGTTATTTGAAATGCTAACTAGTGCTTATGTTATCTGGTTCTAGCTGGAAGGTCATAATGAACCAGTAGTGTTGCAGGTGTTTGTGGGCAATGATTCTGGTCGAGTGAAACCACACGGATTTTATCAAGCCTGTAGGGTAACTGGACGAAATACAACTCCCTGCAAAGAAGTGGACATTGAAGGTACCACTGTTATAGAAGTTGGTCTTGATCCTAGCAACAACATGACACTGGCGTAAGTACTTAATGAAATTTTTTTCTTATTTATTTATTTATTTATTTATTTATTTAGGTTTTTCGAGACAGGGTTTCTCTGTGGCTTTGGAGGCTGTCCTGGAACTAGCTCTTGTAAACCAGGCTGGTCTAGAACTCACAGAGATCCGCCTGCCTCAGCCTCCCGAGTGCTGGGACTAAAGGCGTGCACCACCACTACCAGGCACTTCCTCTTTTATTTTTTTGGCAAGGTTGCAGTATGGGCTGGAACCCTCTACATAGACCAGGCTGGCCTCAAACTCACAGAGATCTGCCACCTGAGTGCTGAGATCAAAGGTGTGTGCCACTATGCCTGAAAAATTTTTATATTTTATTTATTTACTTTGTGGTTTTTGTTTGTTTGAGTTTTGGTTTTATTCTTTTTGGAGACAGAATCTCTTTACATAACCCTGGCTGTCCTGGAACTACTGTGTAGACTAGTCTGGGTCTGTCTCTGCCTTCTAAGTCCTAAGATTAAATGTGTGCACCACCACGCCTGGCTCTTGGCAAATTTCTAAAATAGATTTAAATATATATTTATATATGTGTGTATGCCTTTGTGAATTTATGTGCATTATGTCTGTGCAATTGCCCACAGAGACAAGAAAAGGATATTAGATCTCTTGGAACTAGAGTGACAAGCAGTTGTGAGCCAACATACAGGGCTGCTGGGGACCAAACCCAAGTCCTCTGCAAGAGGAGCAGCAAGTGCTCTTAACCTCTGAGCCATCTCTTTAGCTCCTAAGAAAGTTTTTATTATATATTATATTTTGATGATAATCTGGAAAATTTTTCTAGTTCAAGAGCCTTGGCTAACCTCAAAATCAAGAGGTCCACTCACCTCTGCCTCCTGAGTGCTGGGATTAAAGGTGTGGGTTACCATGCCCAGCTGATTTTGAGGGTCTTATTAAAACATTTTTAAATAGAACAAACTGTTCTTTTAAAAAGGTTCCTACAGGACTATAGATATAGCTCAGCCATTAAAGGCTAGGCTCACAACCAAAAGACAAAGAGCGTTCCTCTAGAATGGTGATGGACTAAATTATACTTTTTTTGCTTTCCTAAAAGCATAGAATAATTCTCTTGTTGGCCATTACTTATGTTCATATTTAAAGAATAATTTTAATTCTTTACTGTTTTTTCCATTTTAAATAGATTAACAAGATTAAAAGCTTTGAATATTTAAAATTTATCCTTTGGTATTTTATGAGTTTGAGGCCTTATGACTGTTACCTATTCAAATAATTAATAATAAAAGAATTGCCTTTTTAAAAAAGAAACTTGTGGTACTCACTTTTAATCCTAGCACCAGGAGGCAAAGGCAGGAGGATCTTTTTGAGTTCCAGGCCAGCCTGGTCTACAGAGCTAGTTCCAGGGCAGCCAGGGCTACACAGAAAAACCCTGTCTCAAAAAACAAAAAACAACAACAACAAGAAAGTTGTACTATTTAGACAATAACAGTGTCACTTGGTACATTTTTTTTTCTATTTTTAGGGTGGACTGCGTAGGAATACTGAAGCTGAGGAATGCTGATGTTGAAGCCAGAATAGGAATTGCTGGTTCCAAGAAAAAGAGCACACGTGCCAGATTGGTTTTTCGAGTTAATATCACAAGGAAAGATGGATCCACTCTGACATTACAAACGCCCTCTTCCCCCATTTTGTGTAGTAAGTAAGAAAATATGGAAATGCTGGATATATGAAGAGTTCCTAAGTTCTATCAATGTATCTGTAAATTTTAATGTTTTATTATTCACCTTAGGAACATGTCATACTTGCAATATTTTAAAACTGTAGTAAAGAACATAGTAGCAAATGCTTATGCTCTTAGCCACTTGGAAAGCTGAGGCAGAAGGCTGTAGAAAATAGCAAGTCACTGTCTATTTGACAAAAAATGAATGAATGAATGAATAAATAAATAAAACTGCAAGCTTTATATGGTGGTACAAACTGTAATCCTAGTAACTAGGAGTAGAAGCAAGAAGACTGCTATGTGTATAGGCCAGCCTGTTCTGAAAGACAAGCTCTGTCTCAGACTGCAAGTTATCCTTTGTTCTGTGGTGAAGTTAATGACAGCCTGAGCTACAGGAAATCCATCTCATAATATAGAAATATTAAAATACATTGGAAAGATACGTAACTTTATAGTTTCCTATTGTCATCATATGCTAATCTTAAAAAGGGCTGGAGAGATGGCTCAGAAATTAAGAGTACTGGTTGCTCTTCTAGAGGACCTAGATTTGATTCCTAGCACCACAGGGTAGCTCACAACTGCCTGTAATTCCTGTCCCAGGGAACTGATGCCCCATTCTATCCCATGGACAGTGCATGCATGAGGTGCACAGACATACATACAGGCAAAGCACATAAAATTAAGTTAAATTTAAAATTTAAGTAGCTGGGCCATGGTGGTGCATGCTTTTAATCCTGGTACTTGGGAGGCAGAGGCAGGTGGATCTCTATGTTCAAGACCAGTCTGGTCTACAAGAGCTAGTTTCAGGCAGGCTCCAAAGCTACATAGAGAAACCCTGTCTCAGAAAATAAATAAATAAATAAATAAATAAATAAATAAATAAATAAATAAAGTAATTTGATGGCTGTCAAGATGGCTCAGCAGGTAAAAGGACTTGTTGCCAAGCCTGATAATATGAATTGTGTCCCTGGAACCTGCATGGCCAAGAGGACTGACTCCAAAAAGTTGTGATACACAATAAATAAATGTTAATGTAATTTTTTAAATATTTTATGTAATTTGAGCTGAAGATCATGTCACTTAAGTGTATTGGTTTTCCAGCAATGTCCCCCTAAATAAGTCATTTAAATAGGATGCCAGAAGACAGTTTCCAAGCCCTAGGATTTCCAAGCATCTTTACCATGAGCTGTTAGAACATTAAAGTAAGCAGAATTTGTAAATAATGGCATGTCACATTTCTTATTACAAGTCGTGATTATACAGTGTTTATGAATGAGAAATGAAACTCTTACCTCTAACTTTAGTATAGAAAGAAAAACAAGTGAAAGTGTGTCTTTAAGTTCATTGATAGTGTTATGCCTTTTACTATTGCTAGAGATAATTATTATAGTTAATTATAATGATACAATTTCTTCTTTAATTACTAAAAATGCATTTATTTTATATTATGTGCACATATGTTTTGCCTGCATGTATGTTTGCATTATGTGCCTGCCTGGTTCCTCAGGAAGTCAGAAGAGGGCATCGGATCCCCTGAAAGTGGAATTACAATTATAAGTCATCATATGGGTGTTGGGAACCAAACCTTGATCTGTGTAAGAACAGCTAGTGCTCTTAACTATTTAGCCATCTCTCCAGCTCTGACACTTTTAATATATTTCTTTCTTGAGGTTTTCATTGTGGATTATGTGGATTATTTTCTTTGGCTTTTGGGGGGGGTGGGATCTTGATAAGTAGCCTACAATTAAAGGTCATTCTTAGCTGGGCAATGGTGGTACATGTCTTTAATCCCAGCACTTGGGAGCCTGAGGCAGGCAAATCTCTGTGAGTTCAAGGCCATCCTGGTCTGCAGAGTGAGTTCCAGGGCAGCCAAGGCTACACAGAGAAACCCTGTTTCAATAAAACAAATCAAAACAAGATCATTCAGATTGTTTGTGTTGGTGTGGACAAGTATGGATACTGGTACATGTGTACAGCTTTTGTTTTCCTTAGTCACTCTCTACCTTATTTTGAGACTGGGCCTCTCACAGACCCTGAAGCGCATAGATTTGTCTAGGGTGGCCAGCCAGTGAGTTCCAGGGATCCTCCTTTCTCTACCCTCCAGTATGGAGTTACAGATATGTGCTAGGAATCCAGACTCAGGTCCACATACTTGCATGGCAGGCTGAGCATCTTTCTAGCTTTACCTCAGTCTCTTAAGTGCTGGGCTTACAGACCTGAGTTGGCATTGCTTTTTTATAACTCATATTTGATTTCAAAACAGAAAAAAAAATGTTGTTCCATTCAGTTGAATTTCCTATTCAGTTATTATAGATATTATGACCTTGTCATTTAAAGCCTGTTTTGTTTGTTTGTTTTACTAGTTTTGTCAAATAATTTTCACAGCTCTTCTTTAACTTAGAAACATTCAACTTTTACATCTGTTTATTTATTGTGTGCATGTGTGCATGTGTGCTTGTGTTTATGTGTATATATGTGTATTATGTGTTTAGGTGTATGTGTGCCATGGTGCACATGTGAGGTCAGAAGACTGTAGGAATGGGTTCTTTGCTTCCACCATGTGGATTCTGGGACTCTCATCAAGTTTTCAGAGCAATCTCACCAATCCAAAAAACTAGTTTTTTAAAAATAGATTCTTAGGGGCTGGTGAGGTAGCTCAGAGGTTAAGAGCACTGACTGCTCTTCCCAAGGTTTTAAGTTCAATTCCCAGCAACCACATGTTGGCTAACAACGTCTGTAATGTGATCTGGTGCCCTCTTCTAGCCTGTAGTCATACATAGAGGAGGACCACTATAAGTAATGCATAAATTAAAAAAAATATTTAATTTAGTGGGAGTGGGTGGTTTTTCCTACACATATATGTGTTTACCATATCATGCCTGTAGCCCACAGAGGCCAGAAGAAGACATCAGATCCCCTGGAACTGGAATAATAATAGATTGCAAATGGCCATGTGGGTGCTGGGAATTGTACCTGCCAACTTGAGTTTGATACTCTGGACCCACATAGTTGTAGCACAAATTCTAATTGGTACTAATAATAAAAACTCAGAGTCAGCTATCAGGGGGTGAAAGATCAGAGAAGCAAATTGGCCAGCCACTAGAGAGTTCTTACCTCTAAGAATGCTCAAACTGAAGGGGCAATCCAGTCCTCCGGTTGCATCCTCATACTGCTTCAGACTGACTACTTCAGACTAACTGCTGTTCAGAGACTGCAATCATCTCTACGAATATTCAGACTGCCCAAACTCCTATCTTTTCCCACCTTATATCCTCTCTCTCCCCAGCCATATCACTCCTGTCTCCACCTCTCTAGTGCTAGGATTAAAGGTGTGTGACTCCCAAATCCTGGGATTAAAGATGAGCCACCACTGCTTGGCCTCTATAGCTAACTACTGTGGATAGCTCTGCACTCTGATCTTCAGGCGAGCTTTATTTATTTGTTAGATATTAAACAGAATATCACTGCATTTCCCCTTTTTTGTCTAAAATTTAAAAAGGTTGTAACTAAAAGAAAAACTATATATAATAAGTGTAACGATATACAATATATATTTGTCCATTTGCATTTGACAAATTCAGAGAAAATATTCCCTATCTATCCTATCTTAATGAGTTCGAAAGGCTGTGCATAATTCACATTCTATTCTAATTTGCATTATCAAAATTATCTTTTAATGTCCCTCAACCTTAGACACTTTACATCTTTTTAGTGATTTTCTTTTCTGAGTCTGGCAAACAAGTAAAACTATAACAATCTAGTCTTCCACTCCCTCAGAGATCTAAGATGAAAGTTAATATTAATTTAGTAAGTAGGAAGTGAAAGCAAGTGACTTCCAAAAAAATGTGAAAAATGACAGAAACAGCTGGCTTCCTGGAGAGTCACCCAAAATTCCTCTGTAACACTGGGGTGACCATCTTTGGCCTACAGGCCTACAATATTTGACAGACTTTACTGCAAAGCAGGATTTTTGAAGGATTGTCCTGCTTTGTCTTGACAGTGTTTGGCAATGTTTGTCCAGTGAGTTACTTTTGCCACAAAGAAAGTTAATTCCACGTGGAATTTCTTCAGTGCCCATCATCTTTCTGAAGTAGATTGGTGTTGCCAGGGGCAGACATGTCTCATTGTCATTAAAAAGAAGAAGAAGAAGAAGAAGAAGAAGAAGAAGAAGAAGAAGAAGAAGAAGAAGAAGAAGAAGAAGAAGAAGAAGAAGAAGAACCTATGTTATTGGAACATTTTAAATGCTATATTCTATAGATCTCTGAAGTGTTTGATGATGACCTATCTAAAATATATTTACCTTAAATACATACCTAATATGACTACAAGTTTGATTGTAATAGGTGACTAATACTCACCTGCATTTCCTTATTATCTTAAACATTTGGTAATAATAACTTTCAAGGACTAGAAATTAGCATTACATTGTTAAATGAGCAGTATAGAATGTACAATACCTTGAACAAGAATAAAAATGCATGTACAATATGTTCTACAAATTTGTATCAATATACAAAATATGTATAAAGTATATAAAAGTCCAATCCAATGTTAAATATTTAAATAAGTAGTTGCTTTTAAAAAGTAGATTCAAGGGCTGGAGCCCTGATTGCTCTTCCAGAGGTCCTGAGTTCAATTCCCAGCAACCACATGGTGGCTCACAACCATCTGTTATGAGATCTGGTGCCCTCTTCTGGAGTGCAGATATAGATGGAAGCAGAATGTTATATACATAATAAATAAATAAAATGTTTTTTCTTAAAAAAAGTAGATTCAATAATCGACCCTTTATCCTATCATATCTATATCCCTCTTTTTTGCCTGAGTCTAATCTCCTTTGTTTAGCTGTTTTTCTGACCATAACCAATAACAACTTGTAACCAGTCACTCTAAATGATGACAGATATCCATAGCCCATTGAACAACCAAAAATCATCCACAGCACGTCTTGGGAATGTGGGCTCTAGTTCTTTAATTTACTTCCTGCTGGGGTTAACAGCATCTTTAGAGAATCTTGAAAAGAAAAAAATTCGATTAATTGTCAAGTCCTGGAAGAGGTAGCTGTATCATTTTATTTTTTTTTTTCCCAGTCTCTGTGTAATGGGAAAGTTCAAGACTGTCTCTCAAGTCCTGGCTGAAGTAGTCTGTGTGGCTGGATCATCTCACCTAGCCACCTTGAAATTGTTATGAGCAGTTTGTAGTTCAAAGCTGATCTTTAGGTTGTATTTGTCAGCTTAGTTAGTGGTGTTATAGTCCTGGTGGAATCGTCATTGTGGGGCCCCAACCTCCTTTTGGGGATTTTAAAGGTTGCTGTTAGGTGTGCTTATGATTCACTGCAGAAAACTTGATAGAGACTGAAACCTGAAATCATGTACAGGAAAGTAGATGAAACTTTTTTCTAGAATTAGTATTCTATATGACCATTAATATAACAAAAAGTCTAACATACATACATGCATACATGAAAAGAAAAGCTGTTAAAGAGTCAAAATAAAACCAAAGGATTATGAGCTTAGTAGCAATAAAATAGTCCATTAATTTTGATTTCTCTTCTGTCCCATATCACATAGTTGAAGTAAGAACTGATTCCTACCCACCCACTGTGGCATGTGTACATGCATGCATACATACACAGAGAGATACACAGGTAGACACACAGTCTAAAATAAATAAAATGCAATAAAAAAATCTTGATCAACAGAAACAACTCATAAAACTGGATTCATGATATTAGTTGTAGATAAGAATTAAGTGTTGGTGGCTCTTTATGGAATGTTTATGTATGTATGTATGTATATCCACAGCTCAGCCAGCAGGAGTTCCTGAGATCTTAAAGAAAAGCTTGCATAGCTGTTCAGTGAAAGGAGAGGAAGAAGTGTTTTTAATTGGGAAGAACTTTCTGAAAGGAACTAAAGTTATTTTCCAAGAAAATGTTTCTGGTAAGTAGGCATATAAGTGGTAGAGAATGTTCCATCTTTCACTTGTTATAAAAATACAGTTAAAGCTACAGAGTAAAAAAAAAAAAAAAAGGCAATTTTTTAAAATCACTTTTTTTGTTTCTATCAGATGAAAACTCTTGGAAATCAGAAGCTGAAATAGACATGGAATTGTTCCACCAGGTATAAAAAAAAACTTCTGAAATAGTTTTGTTTATTCTGTGCAATTCATTCATTTTTGTTTGGAAAGCTTCATTAAGTTATTTCAGGTTCTTTCCAGTTCTGATATTTCATTTATTCTGTCACATAATCAGGTAACCCCCACTCTCCATGACCAGCAGTAATGTCCTCTAGAGTACTATTGACAGAAACAAGTTGGATCCTTGTAATACCAAGCTTGTAATACCCTTGAAGATTTGTTAGTTCATTTCATTGCCCCTGAAGGAAAAGTGAACTTTGATCTAAAGTCTGTTCTTTCTGAGGGCACTTCATCCCCTAGTTCTATTTTAATTTAATTTTTTTTTTTTTTTTTTTTTTTTTTTTTTTTTTTTTTTTTTTTTTTTTTTTTTTTTAAGGCAGGGTTTCTCTATAGCTTTGGAGCCTTGTTCTGTAACTTGCTATGTAGACCAGGCTGGCCTTGAAGTCTCAGCGATCCACCTGCCTCTGCTTCCCAAGTGCTGGGATCACAAATAGGTATCACCATGCCTGGTTCTACAGTACCAGGGATTGAATCCAGGGCTTCATACATGCTAGGCAAGCACTCTACCAATTGAAGCTATGTCCATCCTCAACCCAATAATTGAATTTACATTAAAAGTATGTATGCTGTATATGTGTAGGCATACATGGCATATAGTGTGTGTTATGCTAGGACAGATTTATGAACTTGGCTCTGTCCTTCCACCGTATGATTCAGGTATCAAATTCAGGTCATGGGCTTTGTGTGGCAGGTGGAATGCTAGAGGTCTTTAGAGGGTTGTGATTTTGTTGTTATTTTACTATTGTACAGGGACGTGTTGGGGTGTGTGTACATGTGATAGTCATAGGACAACTCTGTGGAGTACCTCCTTCTATTTTTCTATGGTTTCCAGGATCAAACTAGGTCATTAGGCTTTTTCAGTAAGCATTATTACCTGGTAAGCCATCTCTCCAGCCCAGTCTTGGACTTGCTGCAAATGAGTTTATATAAATAAATTAAATCCTAACATGGTAGGTCATTGGTTCTGTAGTTTTGTTCATATTTTTGGGGGGGTTGAGGTTTTCTACACAGGGTTTCTCTGTGGCTTTGGAGGCTGTCCTGGACCTAGCTCTTGTAGACCAGGCTGGTCTCGAACTCACTGAGATCCACCTGCCTCTGCCTCTGAAGTGCTGGGTTAAAGGCATGCACCACCACCTGGTGAGTTTTGCTCATTTTTAAATTAATTTTTTCCTCAGAGAGAGAGAGATGAGTTAATTGTCCTTTCTGGGAAACATTTTCTTAGAACAGAATAGGATCTGGCATCCTAGAGAACTGTATTAAATGAAAAACAAAAATGAAATATTAGAGAAAAGAAAAGGTGTGTTGAAATAAGCAGAGCTTTGGAGCTGGTCAGCATGGTGGTGCACACATACCTGTAAAACCCAGCACTTAGAGGTTGAGGGAGGAGGAGTAAGATTTACAGCCATGCTGGCAAGATGTTTCTTTCAAATGACATCTGAGTGCATTTTGTATGTGGTACTATTATCCTGACAGATTGTGGGGCAGAGCACCCTACATCTTTGTGGAGCTTCTACTTTTTGTTGTTCAAGAGAGAGAGAAAAAAAGCAATCAGTAATTAAGTGGTTAGAAAGTACTGTTATGAAAATAAACTACAGTTGGAGAGAACAAGTCTGAGATAAAGCTGAGTTTAGTAATTAAAAGGATAGACAACATTTAAGTTTAAATGGGATCAATTAGCTATAATGAATTAAGCCATCAGGAGAATAGGGATGAAATGAAGTTGGTCAAGCAGGGACCTTACAATGTGTTGTAAAACATTGGGGCTTTACCATGAAAGAAATATTAAGATGAATGACATGTTGCTTATCAACCTTTAAATCATAATTTTTTGCATGCTGTAGTGGCCCATACCTGTAATCCCTGAATGTGGGGTCTGAGTGAAGCAGGAAGATCTGGAGATTGAGGCAGGTTTGAGCTCCATATCAATACCTGGCTCTAAAAACCTAGTGCATTTTTTCTAATCAAACTTTTAAAAACTATACAGATAACAGCTAATGTACTTTTTTTTTTTTCCTTTTAAACATTGGCTTCCTTTCTGATTCTTACACTTTTCTTCAATTAGAACCATCTTATTGTGAAGGTTCCCCCATACCATGACCAACATATAACTTTGCCTGTATCAGTGGGAATATATGTTGTGACCAATGCTGGAAGATCTCATGATGTTCAGCCATTTACTTACACTCCAGACCCAGGTATGTCAAAGTGCAAAATTCTGAACTAAAATGAGTAATTAATTTCTAGTCCTTTGAAAAAGTTGAGAGTCCAGACAAGAAAAAAAACTATAAATATGAATTTCTACTAATTTGATTTGTAGATTGGTAGTATTTTTTTAAAAAAAGATCCCAGTAGTATGAAATGCTACTGTTATTCTTAGAATCATTTCCATCTATTCTCTATATAAAAGAGCTGATAGTGCTTGAGCTCAGGTGCTCCAGAGTTAGCCACAGTTTACTTCCTAGTGGAGATCACTATTCACAGAGTGACTTTTAAATGCAGAAGGTGAAACTCACAACTGGAAATGGCTAATACTTTAATTTGACTGGTTTGTGGGACCTCCCCCTCCTGCCCTTTGATCACATTGGGTTTGATTCCATGTCCTTAGTATGCTAACCACATGCTTGACCACTGAACTTTAATACCTCTGGCCTTAGTGTGCATTCTGAGAAGGTGAAAAGAAGAAACTTGGAATAAGTAATAACACAAAAACTATCAGACTGATGATAAATATTTTTGTGGTTTATTTGTTTGCTTGATTTAGTTTGGGATTTGAGACAAGGTTCCTCTGTCTAACAGCCCTAGCTGTCCTAGAACTCTCCATGTAGCACAGGCTGGCTGCGTCTGCCTTCTGAATGCTGGGATTAAAGATGTGTTCCATTACTCTCCAACAAGAATGTTTTAAGTATAATTTTAAGCACTTCATGGTTTACAAATCAAGGTGGCATTTACCTTTAATCCCAGCAGGCACATCTCTGAGTTCCAGGATAGCCAGAACTGTTACACAGAGAAACCAAGTAGGAGGGATAGAGATCAAAAAGAAAGAAGAAATCAGAACACAAAATCAACTGAAATGTATAAATTTGACAAGATATTTAGCCAAAACATTACTTATGAGTTATTTACCTATTTTGTTTAAGTACTTGAAGACTTAAAAAAAAAAGCCTCTGATAGAAATAGCAAGAGTGGGGCTGGAGAGATGGCTGTCTGGTTAAGAGCATTGGCTGCTCTTTTAGAGGTCCTCAGTTTAATTCCAGCAACCACATGGTGGCTCACAACCATATATATGTAATGAAATCTGGCACCCTTTTCTGGCCTGCAGGCATGCATGCAGACAGAACACTATGCATAATATATCTTAAAAAAAAGAAATGAGAAGAGCATTTTGGAAATGAAAATTATTGGTTGGTTGCATTGTGTGGGGGTTTGGCTTCTGCTATAGTTATTATTGTTTTAATGAGGACTATTTCAGAATGTAGTTCTGCACTTGCAGTTTATTGATAATGTTATTCCCACATACTTCAGGACCCAGTGAGATAGAAGGTGAGGAAAAGTGATAGAAAAAGAAAGCTCCTGCACCAAAACAAACAAACAAAAAAACAAATGAGGTCAGAACTGAGGAGGTAATTCAGTCAGTAAAGTGCTTGCCTTGCAAGCACAGGGACTTGATTCCTAGAACCCACATAAAAGGCCACATTCTTGTGATCACAGCTCTGGGGAGACAGAGACAACTAGATCATTGGAGCTTGCTGGCCTGGGTGTTGGGTCTCCTGGAACTGGAGTTATAGTCAGTTGGGAGCTGCCATGTGGATTCTGGGAACTGAATTTGAGTTCCCTATGATAGTAGCAAGTGCTTTTAATCAGTGAGCCATCTCTCCAGCCCCCAGTTTTGCCTTTGTATTCAATTAGAGATAAATGTCTTGATATTGTCATGAGAAATAATGCATTAAAAGTAAACCAATTCAAATTTCATTTGGGGTATGTTTATAAATATAAAATAAATAATTTGAGGGCCTTGACACGTGCACCCCTATGCTAATAATAATTTTTTAAAAAATGCTTCAACAGCCAGGCGTTGGTGGCTCATGCCTTTAATCCCAGCACTGGGGAGGCAGAGGCAGGCAGATCTCTGAGTTTGAGGCCAGCCTGGTCTACAGAGTGAGTTCCAGGACAACCTCCAAAGCAATACAGAGAAACCCTGTCTCGAAAAACTGCTTCAAGCACGGAAAGCCAGGCTAGGTAATTCCAGTTTGTAATCTCAGCACTCAGGAGCCTGATGCATTAAGATTGGGCTACATAGGAAGACTGCACTTCAAAACAAAACAAACAAGCCTTAACAAATAGAAATTAGAATGTTTTTTAGATAAAAGAAACAGGCTGCGTTCAGCAAGTTTGCTTAGTGTGTAAAGGCCTAGTAGCCCGAGTTCTGTCTCTGAGACCCATGTTGTAGAAGCCACAAGTTGACCTCCACATATGTGCTGTTGTATATGTGTATGCAGGCACATAAACAATAAATTAACTTTTAAAGTTTTTGGGTTTTCACGGCAGGGTTTTTCTTTGTAGCTCTGGCTGTTCTGGACGTTACAGAGATCCACCTGTTTCTGCCTCCCTAAGTGCTGGGATTAAAGGAATGTACCACCATCGCCTTGCTTTAAAACATTTTTAATTGGTTCCAGAGTTCAATGCAAATATGAAAACCTGAGTTTGATTTCCTGAACACATTTTCCAAAACCCAACTGTTATGGTATGAGTTTGTAAGAGCTAATGAGGTAGAGATAGGAGAATCCGAGACTTGCTGGCCAGCCAAACTAGCCTAACTAGCAAGCTCCAGGTCAATGAGAGATTCTGTCTTAATAGACAAAATAGGTGGTTCCTAATGACAGATACCTGAGGTTTACCTCTGGCCTCTTTCATAAATGGGCACACATATGCACATGTATCTACACATACTTGAACACACACATACATATAGGAAAGGGAATTAAAACAAATATATGGGCTGGGAAGATATCTCAGTCTACACGAGCATAAGGACCTGAGTTCCGTGCCCAGGGCCCACTCAAAAAGCTGACTACAGTGGTGCATGACTGGAGAGATGGATCAGTAGTTGTCTTAGGGTTTCTATTGCTGCAGCAAAACACCATGACCAAAATGGAAGTTAGTGAGGAAAGGGTTTATTTATTTGACTTACTCTTAATGTATCACTATTTGTTATCAAAGGAAGTTGGGACAGGATCTCAAACATGGCAGAAATCTGGAGGCAGAAGCTGATGTAGAGGCCATGGAGGGGTACTACTCATTCTCCTGCTTTCTGTTTTGTTTTGTTTTGTTTTTCCTTTTTTTTTTTTTTTTTGAGACAGGGTTTCTCTGTGTAGCTTTTGAGACTATCCTAGAACTTGTTCTGTAGACCAGGCTGGCCTCAAACTCACTGAGATCTACCTGTTTCTGCCTCCTGAGTGTTGGGATTAAAGGCTGTTTGGCCCCTCAGCCTGCTTTCTTAGAGAACCCAGGACCACCAGCCCAGGGATGGTACCACCCACAATAGTCTGGGCCCTCTCCTCTCAATCACAAATTAATAAAATGCCCTACAGCCAGGTTCTATAGAGGCCTCTTCTCAATTGAGGTTCCCTTCTTTCAGATAACTCTAGGTTATGTGTTAAGTTGACATAAGACTAGCCAGCACAGTGATTAAGAGCACTTGTTTTTGCAGAGAACCCAGGTTCAGTTCCCAGCATTCACATGCACTAGGGAGGTGGAATCAGGAAGATCTGTGACTTGGTAGCCAGCCAGTCTAGCTAACTGAGAGTGGTTCTTAACCTTCCTAATGCTTTGACCCTTTAATAGAATTCCTCATGTGGTGACACATACCCTCCACCTGTAAAATTATTTCTTTGCTACTTAATAATTGTAATTTGGCCACTGGTATGAATCATAAATATCTAGTATTCAGGCTGTCTGATAAGTGACCTCTATGGGGTTGTGACCCACAGGTTGAGAACCACTGGGAAAGGAACCCTTGTCTCAAAAAAAATAAGGTGGAGGGGAATCCTTGAAACATAAAAATAGCAACAGTAATAAAATGAAGCCCAACCTACTTATTTGTAGTTCAACATTGTCATTTAGAATGATCTTTGTTCTTCAGCTCATTAAATCAAAAGCTGTTATGGAAGATTTAATAGATAGCCTTGCAGTTCTCTGTTAATGCTAGTAAAGTTTCTTTTTCAAAGTTTTACTGAAAGAATAATCATATTATAGATCCTATATGTTCATCATCCATATTTTAAGTTACTTTACATATTGGCAAATGTTTTTGAGTCAGTACTTTTTAAATTTATAGAGATAAATGATAATATTTTTTTTTCTTCCTAGTGCTCTAATAGAGCTGTTAAGTTTTAAATGTCTGATATTTGGTGTCAGTCTTCATTCCTCTCATGTTACCAGTATGTACAGTGTTAAAAGGATTCTTTTGGGCAGAGGGAGGGGTTTGAGACAGGGTTTCTCTGTGTAACAGCCCTGGCTATCCTGGAACATGTTTCGTAGACCAGGCTGTCCTCGAACTCACAGAGATCCACCCCCCTCTGCCTTCTGAGTGCTAGGATTAAAGGCATGTGCCACCACCTCCTGGAGTTAATAGGATTCTTAAATATTTCTGTTTTGGTAAGTGATCATATGTTCTATCTACTTGAAGATGAGTATATTTTAGAAGTTAAGTCTGCTGGTTATAAAAAAATTGCTTCAACCTTGGATTTATAGTAAATAAGTCAATGATGTGCTAAGAAAACATTCCAGTTAAAGAGTATTTATTAAAATCTGTTTTACCAGGATCAATAAATTGAAATAAATGTATGATTTTTATTTTTAATAGCAGCAGCTGGTGCTTTGAATGTAAATGTGAAAAAGGAGGTATCTAGTCCAGCAAGACCTTGCTCTTTTGAAGAAGCCATGAAAGGTACCAAGTTGATATTTCTCAGATACTAATAATGGTCATCCTGTGTGTTCACTAGTAAACTTTAGTGCTTTCTTTCTCTGATATATTGTGATTCTTAGCAAGGTGTTTTGCAAATTATAAAATAAATATTTGTTTAACTTTCCTGATGCAGAGACTTATTTTTCAACTTATTTTCTTTGATTTAGCATATTGGTTTACTTTAAAAACAAAAACCAAAAACATAATAGACCAAACATGATTGATAGTGCATACTTGTAATCCTAACACTTGGGAGACAAGGGAATCAAGACTACCATAGGCTACATAGTAAGACCTTATATCAAAATAATAATGAATATGTTAGAGGAGTTTGCTTTTATTTATTTATTTTTTAATTCTTCAGTTTAAAAAACCCTTAAGTGAGGACTAGAGAGATGGCCAGCAGTTCAGAGCACTGGCTGCTCTTCCAGAGGACCCAGGTTCAAATCCCAGCACCCACATGGTAGCTCACAACTGTCTAACCCCTGTTGCAAGGCATTGGACTCCCTCAACAGACATACATGTAGGTAAAACACCAATGTACATAAACATAAAAAATCCAAAAAAAAAAAAAAAAAACCCAAACCCTTAAGGGCCTTCAAGGTGGCTCAGTGGATAAAGGCACTTTCCAGTAGGCCGATGAACTGAGTTAAATCCCCAAAACACACATGGTGGAAGAAGAGAAACAACCCTTACATGTTGTACTCTGACCTTCACACATATTATGGCTGGGGTATCAACTCATACACACAGATAAATACATAAATAGAAGAAAAAAAAAAGCCCAAACTCCTTAAAAGTAATATGTATAAGGGATTAGAGAGATGGCTTGGTGGTTAAGAGCATTGGCTGCTCTTCCAGAAGACCCAGGTTCAATTCCCAGCACCCACATGGCAGCTCACAGCTATCTGTAACTCCAGTTCCATAAGATTCACCACCCTCACACAGACATACATACTGTCAGAAACCAATGCACACAATATAAAATAATAATTATAAATAAATTTTTTAAAGTAATGTATATAAATCACACAAAAAAGTAAAGCAGAAGCCTGCTGGTGTGGCGCACGCCTTTGATCCCAGCACTCAGGAGGCAGAGACAGCCAGATCTCTGTGAGTTCAAGGTCCACCTGATCTACAGAACGAGTTCTAGGACAGCCATGACTACCTAGAGAAACCCCATCTTAACCCCACTCCCAAAATGTAATGCAGATATTATGAAGCTTTCTTCTTAAAAAGATAGTACTTGTTATTGAAATATGAACTGTAGGTATATGAAAAGTTGCTTTGGGATCTAACCATTCTTCCTTCTGATATGTTTATTTACTTCCCTACCAATTTAAGATTTTTGTTTTTCAAGACTGTAACAGCTCTGGCTGTCCTGGAACTAGCTTTTTAGACCAGGCTGGGCCTCAGGCTCAAAGATCTGGCCTGTCTCTGCCTCCTCAGTGCTGAGATTGAAGGTGTGTGCAGTCACAGCTCTGCCCTACTAACTGAAAACAAACAACAACAGAAACAGGTATGATGGCACATGCCTACAGAGCCAGTGCTGCAGTATCTGAGATAGGAATTTCATGATCTCAAGGCCTGTCTAACCTACATAGTAGAACTGTGTCAAAAAATCCAAGTACAAAGGGAACCATGAATATGAAGTGATTTAAGTCTGTTACAATGTGGTAAGGCAGATTACTACTCTATAATTTATAGTACGTTGTGATGATGCTTTTATGCCTTTTCCTGTGAAGGTACAGATTACATAATTACACAGACAGTTCTGTAATTCTTTTTTTTCTTTCAGTTTTCTGCCCTTAATTTCATGTGGATTAAATTATATAAAGGGCCATAATGAACTGGATAAATTTTATCAATTACAGTGAAACTTTTCAAAGTAAAACTGAGCATTCACATGCAGAATAGTTCCTTACAGCTTGCTATTGTAATTGTGACCATGAACATTTCCCAGAGTAGATTAGTGAAAAATTATGAAGTTGCAAATAGACTGGGAAGCTTATCAGACTCAACAGGCCTGGTCTTGTAACTAGAGTTTATTTATCATTTACTTGAAGTCTATGCTGAACTTTTCACAGGAAAGGAAGCGAGTACTCAGAAATTGAGTGATTTGTATAAGATCACTTAGCTTGAATTGAAAATTTGTTTCAGCTTCATTCTATAGATCTGTATGAACCATTGAAATAAATTGGTGTTCAGTCAGGCGGTGGTGTCATGTGCCCTTAATCCAAGCCCAGCACCCAGAGGCAGGTGGGTCTCTTGAGTATGAGGCCAGCCTGGTCTACTTAGTGAGTTCTGGGATAGCCAGGGCTATAAAAGAAACCCTGTCTTGAAAAAAACGAAAGGGAAAAATTAGTTAATAAATTAATCCACATTTGTTAGATACATACTCTTAATTGCTAAAGAACATCAGCTATGTTTGCAATCTGTCTTGTTTGTTTTGAGGCAGGATCTCACTCTGATAACCAGGCTGGCCTGGAACTACTGGCAATCACCTGTCTCAGCCTCTAGCACATTGGGATTAGAGGTGTGAGCCATGGTGCCTGACTATAGTCCATCTCTTAATTCCTTGTTCATAGAGAATCAGGTCACAACCCAGTCCTGCATGAAATTGTATATAAAAGGAAATCTATTGAATGGCTTTTATTTTGTTTTTGTTTTTAGTGCTAAAAAATTTAGTCCTTTGCAAAAACAAAACAAAATGGCCAGGTAGTGGTGCGGCATGAACATCTTTATTGGGGGGGGGGGTGCAGAGGCAGTCGGATCTCTGTGAGTTTGAGGCCAGCCTGGTCTACAAAGCCAATTCCAGGACAGTTAGGACTGTTACACAGAGAAACCCTGTTACACAGAAAACAACAGCAACAACAATAAACCCTGAATATGAAACACTCTTTTTTACAATTCAGACCTTATATGATAAATACCTTATCAATTAAAAGTAGGGTAAGATAGGGGGTTGGAGAGATGGTTCAGTGGTCAAGAGCACTGTCTGCTTTTCCAGAGGACCCAGGTCAATTCCCAGCACCCACATGGCAAATCCCAACTTTCTGTAATTCCAGTTCCAGGGGACCTGACACCCATGGCATAACACCAATGCACATAAAATAAAAATAAATACGTTTTTAAAGGTAGGGTAAAATAATTTTGTGAAGATGTAAACTAAATTGAGTTCTAAGCTGTCTTATAGATTTGAACTTTAAATTTGTCATTGTATACAAAATAATTAGCAATTCCTGTGATATATTAAAAGAAAGTAATAGCTTCAGAACTAGGAATCTGCTTATATTTTATGATTCCTTGAAATCAAAGCTTTAGTACTATACCAGAATGCTTTATGAAAATTTAATTAGCAATACCTTAATAATGAAGACTATATGGCATGGGTGACACTTCAATTTCTGTTGCAGCAGTAATTCTTTAAGGATCATCCTTAAAAATAGCCATGGTTTGCAATAACATGTAAATCTTTCTTCTTTTTCTTTTCTTTCTTTCTTTTTTTTTTTTGAGACAGGGTTTCTCTGTGGCTTTGGAGCCTGTTCTGGAACTAGCTTTTATAGACTAGGCTGGCCTCGAACTTACAGAGAACCACCTGTCTCTGCCTCCCAGTGCTGGGATTAAAGGTGTGCGCCACTACTTCCCAGCTTAACATTTAGATCTTGGTACTCAAAAAATAATACTGAGACTACATATTGAAAGCTCGCTCTAAAGTAGGCTCCTCCACTCCCACCCCCACCCCTGTGTATGTGCGTTTGTGGAGGGGGGGCTGTTCCTGGAGGCCAGAAGAAGGTGTCCATCTTTTAGGACTGGAGCTATAGCAACATGGGTGCCAAGTATCAAATCCATATCCTCTGAAAGAGCAGTCAGTGCTCTTAACCACTAAGCCTCTCTCTTAGCTCCTCCTGAGAATATTTATAGATGGTTTTTCAATACCTTCACTGGTGCCAGGTAGATTTGAATATAAACAGACTGCTCAATGGGTCATGTCTAGGACCTAGGGATAAAGTACTAATTAATAAATTTTCCATCTCTACCTTGGATCTTTCTGTCATCTTTTATTACCCTGCTTTGTAGTGTGAGGTTAATTTAATGAGTTTGAACAAGAGTTGAGAGCATATAATTTTCTCTAACTGGCTGTGATTAAGTAACAATATTAAGATTTGAAAAAATTGTGAGGTATGAGGTTAATTAATAACAATCTCATTTTGTAGGTAAAAGGCTGGAGATCTAGCCTCAGTGGTAGAGTGCTGGCCTAGTTTTGATTTCTCCCCTCTCCTCAAAATAAACTTTACCAGGAATGGTGGCTCATATGCCTTTGATCCCAGCACTTAGGAGGCAGAGGCAGGCAGGTTTCTATGAGTTGGAGGCCAGTCTGGTGTATATAGTGAGTTCTCACACAGCCAGAGATTTGTAGAGAGAGCTTGTCTCAAATAAACAATACCATTTATATAGGCAAGTAAATCAAGGCTTAGAGAGATTAAGTGAAAATTACTCGACGTCACACAGTAAATGCCAGAAGTTGAAACTTAAACAAAACATCCCTTGTGTTTTGGCTTGATTTGAATTTTGAGACAGAATCTCACATTATAGCTCAGGCTGGCCTGGAACTGATAACAGTCCCCCTGCCTCAGCTTCCTACATGTAATTACAGGTCTGAGCCTCTATTCAACCACCTCAAATTTTTGAGATAGGGTCTTGCTCTGTAGCCCAATACTAACCTCAAATTTGTGATATTTCTGCCCCAACCTCCCAGGAGCTTAGATTACTTCCATCTTTCTTATAAATCTTAACTCATACTTAAGATTATTTCTTTTTATTTATATGTATGAGTGTTTTGCCTGAATGAATATGTACACCTCTTGCATGCCTGGCACCCATGGAGGCCAGATGAAGGCATAAGACTTCCTGGAATTGGTTAACTCATACTTTAAATAAAATTTATATTTGGTGGGACTCCTGCTTGTTGACAATATACTTTTAGGAAATTTTTTTTCTTAATTTCCTAAAGTTTCATATAAATGACAATAGCAGTGTTCTTCGCAAGCTTAAGTCAGTATTGGAATAATGAAATCTGTCTTTTTTATATACTGTCTAACTTTTCTGAATTGTTTTAAAAGGAACCCTACTAGTTAATTTTTGAGTTTTTTTCATTCCTCACTGAAAGACAATTTTCAGAAAGTGGAGACATTTTTTATTCTAATCAACACTAATCCTCATAACATAGAATAGTGCCAAAATATTATAGAACTCAGTATGTACATATTGAAAATGGAGAAAGGAAAAATACTAGAAATATCTCAAGTCTTTTAATTGAAAAAATTGTTAATTGTGTATATTACTGGGAATTGAATCTAGGCTCAGGCTAGGCAAGTGCTTTACTACTGGTATGTCTCCCCAACCCCATTTAATGTTTTTTTAGGTCCATTAAAGCATAATTAAGGGTTCTAGGGCAAAAACAGTATAAGCTAAGTTTTCCCTGCTTCTCTCCTAACTACTACTAAATAGCTTATAAATAAGTCACCTATCATAAAAGTATTTTGAAAAAGATAGAAGTCATTTGAGTGACCAGGGACTCTTAGATGACTTAGTGCTCAACACGCACACTAAGAAAGTTTAGGAGCCAATTTGTATCCCCACCACCCCTGCTACACCAACAGCAGAACCTGAAAGGCCAGTACACCTAGTACCCACACCTGTCAGCAACAGTCAGCCTGCCTCCAGAAATGGCAGTAGTGGATTTTAATGCATCCCCTGTGCCATCTTCTCCATGGTGATGATATTTGCAAGATCAGTATTTCCTAACTTTCAGGAAAGCTCCTAGCACTCCACCCAAGTAGAACATCTAAGCTAGGAATTTTCCAACCCTCTACTTAGTGACAAAAGTTAGTTGTCATCTGAGTGGAGCTGGTTGTGGTGGCCCATGCTTTTAATCCAGCACTTGGGAGGCAGAGGCAGGTGGATCTTTGTGAATTCTAGGCTGGCCTGGTCTACATAGTAAATTCTACGATAGCCAGGGCTATGTAGAGAGACCCTGTCTCAAAAAGCAAAAAATGTCAGACTGGTGTCAGAAAGTCAACCAGACATAGGGTTCCAGACCCAGTTTGTCACATGTACCCAGAGGCAACGCACATAGATAATTCTATACCTTAGCAATATCAGCAGTGAGATTAGAAAGCCTGCTGTCACTGTATTTTAAAAACAACAGCAAAAGCCCACAAAAAACATACAGGAGAAATGTTCTCCTTTCTTGTCCAAAGACACCAATAGCCTGGGGAAGCACCTTTTACTAGGTAGACAACATCACACATAGAGTAGGAATAGCCTAACCAGATAGCCCAAAATAGAACTAAGTTCTCACTGAAACTACAATGTACTTAGGTAAACCAGAACCTGAATTAGCAAGTTAAACCTGTTCAAATCAGTTTAAGTGGAATCAAATCTAACAAAATCCAAGGTGGTCTTAAGTGTTGGAACTATCTAGCAAAAAGTTAGATCATGAAATTAATGCAACAAGTAATTCTGAATTCTCTTAATGAAAGTCAAAACTAAAAATAGAAAAAGCTAGCAAAGAAAGTGGAGTTTTTGTTTTTTAAAAGAACCAAGTGGAAATTATAGAACTGAAAACTGCACTGATTTTTGTTGTTGTTGCTAGTTATATTTCATTGAAACTCGGGGAAATTATGTCTTCCACTTATAGTGAAATCAAGTAAGAAATCAGTAATAAAGTGGGACAGGAGGATCTCTGTGAGTTTGAGGCCAGTCTGATCTACATATTAAATTCCAGAACTACATAGGCCTCTCTGTAAACAAACAAACAATAAATAAATATGAAAGAAAGTAATCGGTAATAAAAAGAATAGAAAAATCTTCACAATAAGAGAAAGTTTTTAGCTGAGAAGGTGGCTCACTTGGTAAAGTGCTTGCCTAACACATGAGGCCCTGGTTTGGCTCTCCAGCACCGTGTAAACCAGGTGTGGTATACATCTGTAATCCCAGTGCTTGAAAAGCAAATTCAGGAGTATCAGAAGTTCTAATCTTTGGCTTTGAGATTAAGCCACCCTGGGAAACATGAGATTGCCTTTTTTTTTTTTTTTTTTTTTTTTTTTTTTTTTTTTTTTTTTTGAGTGTAGGGGGCTAGAGAGATGACTCAGCAGTTAAGAGCACTTGCTGCTCTTGCAAAGGACCCAGGTTCCATTCCCAGTACCCACACGGTTCACAATCATCTGTAACTCCAGTTCCAGGGATCCAGTGTCCTCTTCTGACCTTCAGGGATGCATGGTACACAAACAAATAGGCACAACACTCATACACATAATGTAAAAATAAATATTTTTAAGAGAGTGGGGCTATCAAAGGGAAATTGAAAAATAAACTGAATAAAAATGAAAATAATGACATTTGAAAGTTTGTGAGATGCTAGGCATAGTGGCATATGACCTGTAATGCTCGCGCCCTAGAGGCTGAGAAGATGAAATGTTTGAGACAACCATGAGATGCATATTAGTAAAACCCATCTTGATAGTCTGTATTTCTGCTGGGCTGGCAGTGGCATTTGCCTTTAATACCAACATTCTTGGGAGGTAGAGGCAGCAGGATCTCTGTGAGTTCAAGGCCAGCCTGGTCTACAGAGCGAGTTCTGGGACAGCCAGGGCTACACAGAGAACCCTGTCTTGAAAAAAATCCAGAGTCTCAAACCCATTAGCAATAAACAGTAGGCTCTATAAAGTATCAATGGGGCAAACTCAAGTAAAAAGAAAAAGAATCAAAGACATGTAGGGGATGGGGAGAATAGAGTAGAAAGGGAGTAATTGCCTCTCTTAGCTATAAATCGATAGCTATTGGAAGTAGATGTTGATAGAGGTAAAAATGGTTGAGAAATGCATTTAATGTACCACCTTGAGTTATTCAAGTTTCTAAAACATCGATTCAGAGAATAAACAATTATAAATTACTTGGTATTTTCTTAAATGTTTGCTAAGAGATACTTCAGTAATCTTAGCCTTTAAAAAGTTGGAATTCGGGGCTGGACAGATGGCTCATCGGTTAAGAGCACTGACTGTTCTTCCAGAGGTCTTTAGTCCAATTCCCAGCAACCACATGGTGACTCACAACCACCTTGAATGAGATCTGGTGCCCCCTGCTGGCATGCAGGCAGAAGACTGTATATGTAATAAATAAATAAATAAAATCTTAAAAAAAAAAAAAGTTGGAATGCTTGGAGATACAGGTCTGTATGGTAAACTAAGCTAAACCTAGTATATAACTCGGTACACTTAGATGTGGTTTGTGGGATACAGCTTGGAAGTTGAACCAATTCACCTTATTATTTAGTCTACAGTTGGGTATTTCTTTAGTGGTAAAGCAAGCCCTTCTAGATTTCATGTGTCCTTAAGTTTGTTTGATTACCTTGCATGATACTACATAAATAAGCCTGTCTTCTCAGCCCATACCAAATCTTCAAGCCAGGGAGGTTTGGGGATGTAGCAGAGTGGGCAGAGTGCCTGCCTAGGATGCATTAAGCCCTGGGCTCAATAATTGTCTTTGTACATATCAGGCATGGTGACCCACACATACACTGCCAAGTGAAGGCAGGATCAAAAGTTTGAGGTTATTCTAGGCTACATACCTAGTTTGAGGTCAGCCTGGAGTACATGAGTCTTGCAAAAATGGAGTAGGGATAAATGTATCATGCATTATAACATCAAAAGATAGACATTTAAGCCAGGTATGGTGGTACAGCATACCCATACTTTGATCTCTTTTGGGCTGAGGCAGGAAGATGACAAGTTTTAGACCAGTCTAGACTGTCCAAGAGAGTATTTCAAAACAACAACAACAAAAAAAAATGGCTTATAGTAAACAGATTGTTTTCATGAATTTTATGATTTACAACTTTTTTTTATGTGTGTAGCAATGAAAACGTCTGGATGTAACTTAGATAAGGTAAACATTCTTCCTAACGCCCTGATCACTCCACTCATATCAAGCAGTATGATTAAGACTGAAGATGTTACTCCAATGGAAGTAACAGCAGAGAAAAGACCTTCCCCTATTTTTCAGGTGAGTTATATTAACTATTGCCCATATCTTTAGCTCACATATGAAAAACTGTTGTATTCACCTTTCTTGTTTCTTTGACTTTGTTTTCCAATGGATAGGCTTAATTAATTTCCTTTTTAGAGCAAATGCTTTATATATCATTAAAATTGTTTGCAAAGTAACTTCTAGTACACATTTTGACAAGAGGAAGAATTAATTCCTGTGAGATAAGCCTTTTTATAAAGGTATTACAAGTTGGTCTTTGGGCTAAGGCGCCAAGGATGTGAGTTCAAGACCAACCTGGCTACACAGAAAGAACCTGTCGCCCAAATTGATTGATTTAATTAAAGCACTAATTTTAGCATTTTCAGAGGTAGAAACATTTTTATTATGGTTTCTTCTCTATTGTCTTTTTAATTCCCCCTTTCACTTGTATTTCCCCATTGCAATGATACTGATGATCCAAAATATGGAAGTGTTATTTGTATTTGGTTATACATAAACCATAGGATTAATAGGATTAATGTTTTCTTAATATTCTTAATGTGGCTAAACACACCAATAACTAATCACAATACTGAATGCCAGACATTAATTATGTCATAGAGATTCAGTCTTAGACCAACTTCTAGTTGATAGTGTAGAAAATTCTGTGTGCATTCTTAGAAATAATTTTTGGAGTAATAAATGTGATTATTTAATGTTTATATGTACATATTATTTGTGACTTTTTTTTAGACTACAAAGACAGTTGGATCAACTCAGCAAGCATTAGAAACTATTTCTAACATAGCAGGAAACTCATCTTTTTCGTCCCCATCATCTTCCCATTTGCCTTCTGAAAATGAGAATCAGCAGCAGCTTCAGCCCAAGGCATACAACCCAGAGACCCTGACAACTATCCAAACACAGGACATCTCACAGCCTGGCACTTTTCCAGCAGTTTCTGCTTCTAGTCAGCTGCCCGGCAGTGATGCACTTCTGCAGCAGGCTACACAGTTTAAGACAAGAGAATCTCAGTCCAGGGACACATTACAGTCAGATGGCACAGTGGTTAATTTGTCACAGTTGACTGAGGCATCACAACAGCAACAGCAGTCCCCGCTACAAGAACAAGCACAGACGTTACAGCAGCAGATCTCATCAAATATTTTTCCATCGCCAAATAGCGTGAGCCAGCTCCAGAGTACTATTCAGCATCTGCAAGCAGGAAGTTTTACAGGTGGCACTGCTGGTAGCAGCAGTGGAAGTGTTGACTTGGTCCAGCAGGTTTTAGAGGCACAACAACAGTTATCTTCTGTTCTGTTTTCTGCTCCAGATGGTAATGAGAATGTTCAAGAACAGCTTAATGCAGACATTTTCCAAGTCAGTCAAATTCAAAATAGTGTAAGCCCTGGTATGTTTTCCTCCTCTGAGCCTGCAGTTCACACCAGACCAGATAACTTACTACCTGGGAGGACTGACAGTGTCCATCAACAGACTGAAAACACACTGTCTAATCAGCAGCAACAGCAGCAGCAGCAGCAACAACAGCAGCAACAGCAAGTGATGGAGTCATCAGCTGCCATGGTGATGGAGATGCAGCAGAGCATGTGCCAAGCAGCTGCCCAGATTCAGTCAGAACTATTTCCTTCAGCTGCTTCAGCAAATGGAAGCCTTCAGCAGTCTCCAGTTTACCAGCAGCCTTCTCACATGATGAGTGCACTGCCTACCAACGAGGACATGCAAATGCAATGTGAGTTGTTCTCTTCTTCCCCCACAGTTTCTGGAAATGAAACTTCTACAACCACCACGCCACAGGTTACAACCCCTGGCTCCACTATGTTTCAAGCACCAAGTTCTGGAGATGGTGAAGAAACTGGAGCACAGGCAAAACAAATGCAGAATAGTGTCTTTCAGACAATGGTTCAAATGCAGCACAGTGGGGACAGCCAACCTCAAGTAAACCTCTTTTCATCTACAAAAAATATAATGAGTGTTCAGAATAGTGGTTCCCAGCAACAAGGGAATAGCTTGTTCCAGCAAGGAAACGACATGATGTCACTTCAGTCTGGGAACTTTTTGCAGCAGTCTTCTCATTCACAGGCTCAACTCTTTCATCCTCAAAATCCTATTGCTGATGCTCAGAACCTTTCCCAGGAAACTCAAGGTTCAATTTTTCACAGTCCAAATCCTATTGTCCACAGTCAGACTTCCACAGCATCCTCTGAACAGTTGCAGTCTTCAATGTTTCACTCTCAGAATACCATCACTGTATTACAAGGCTCTTCAGTTCCACAAGACCAGCAGTCACCCAACATATTTCTTTCCCAAAGTTCTATGAATAATCTTCAAACTAACACAGTAGCCCAAGAAGAACAGATTTCATTTTTTGCAGCACAGAACTCAATTTCTCCACTTCAGTCAACATCAAACACCGAGCAGCAAGCTGCTTTTCAACAGCAGCCTCCAATCTCACACATCCCAACCCCTATTCTTTCCCAGGAACAGGCACAATCTACTCAGCAAGGTTTATTTCAGCCTCAGGTGGCCCTTGGCTCCCTTCCATCTAATTCAATATCTCAAAACCAGCAAGGAGCAATTTTCCAAACACAGCACTCAATAGTTGGCATGCAGAGTAACTCTCCATCCCAGGAGCAGCAGCAACAACAGCAGCAGCAGCAGCAGCAGCAGCAGAGCATTTTATTCAGTAATCAGAATGCTATGGCTACAATGGCATCTCAGAAGCAGCCACCACCAAACATGATATTTAACCCAAACCAAAACCCAATGGCTAGTCAGGAGCAGCAGAACCAGTCAATTTTTCATCAGCAAAGTAATATGGCCCCAATGAACCAAGAGCAACAGCCCATGCAATTTCAGAATCAGCCTACGGTTTCCTCACTTCAGAACCCGGGTCCTGCACAGTCTGAGTCACCACAGACATCCTTGTTCCATAGTTCTCCTCAGATCCAGTTGGTACAAGGATCACCTAGTTCTCAAGAGCCCCAAGTAACACTCTTCCTCTCTCCAGCATCCATGTCTGCATTGCAAACCAGTATAAACCAACAAGACATGCAACAGTCTCCTCTTTATTCGTCTCAGAACAACATGCCTGGAATCCAAGGAGCCACTTCTTCGCCCCAGTCACAGGCTACTTTATTTCATAACACTACAGGAGGCACAATGAACCAACTACAAAATTCTCCTGGCTCATCTCAACAGACTTCGGGAATGTTCTTCAGTTGAAACAACTACAAAATTCTCCTGGCTCATCTCAACAGACTTCGGGAATGTTCTTATTTGGCATTCAAAATAGTAAGAAACAAATTTCTCAGTATTCAGTTGAGATGCTCAGATTATTATAAAGAAGCACAAAGCAAAGAATTTTAAGAGCAAGAGTAGAGTTCTACCAACTGAAGACAAGTTATTTGGCCTTCCTGGGCCTGAATTTCCATATTTTCAAAAGATCATTTTAAACTGGTCATTATGGTACATGCCTGTAGTCTTAGCCTTTCAGAGGTTGAAGCAGGAAGACCAGGAATTCAAGTCATCTGTGGCTCCATACTGTGTTTAAGGCCAGCCTAGGGTACATGAGACCTTATCTCAGAAATAGAAACAAAAAGGCGATAAATTTTATACCTCACAAAGATAGTAGGAGGATTAGATGTATTGAAGTATTAAAATGTGTTTGCCATTTTAAGCTATTAATTTGAAAGGAAAATGAAATAAGGAAAGATAAATCTCAGCTAATTAAGTTTTTTTTAAGAGCTAGACACCCATTTTTCATGTGTTATATAAAGTAATATATAACTTAGGACTTGGATGATACCTAAGTAGTTTATTTATTTATTTAGAGTTAGGTTCTCAATATTTAACCCTGGCTATCCTGGAACTCAATGTGTAGGCCAGGCTGGCCTTAAACTCAGAGGTTTACCTGCTCTGCTTCTCAAATGCTGAGGTTAAAGGTGTACTCCACCACACCAAGCCTATGTAGTATTTTTATATATGTTAGAGGAATCTCAAGATTAATTGTCATCCTGTGAAAGCCATTTTCTTAGGCTTAAGTAATATACTAGATCAGTATAGGAATGAATTTCCTCTGGCAACTAAAAAGTTGGTGTTTTTGGGTTTTTTTTGGTTTTTTGTTTGTTTGTTTGTTTGTTTGTTTTTCTTTTTTTTTTCATGAATCTTGTCTAATCAGATGTTTCTTATTTCATCGTCTACAGATTGTAGTCAGCTTTTAACCTCTGGACCAGGTACCTTGCCAGATCAGCTGATGGCCATAAATCAGCCAGGACAGACACAAAATGAGGGCCAGGCCTCTGTGACAACACTTCTTTCTCAGCAAATGCCAGAGGCTTCCCCACTGGCCGCCTCTGTGAACAGTAGTCAGAGCATGGAGAAGATTGATTTGCTTGTTTCATTGCAAAGCCAAGGGAACAATTTAACCGGCTCCTTCTAATGAGATGTGTGAGTATTACATTTTGGCTTCTTAGTGAAAAGCATTAATAAATTTATTCATAACAGATTTTGGTTAATAGCAGTGTTTAGAGTGTACCTGTTTAAAATAGGACATTCACTTTGAGCAAATCACTCTGAATGATAGCTTAGGTCAGATAGGAAATACTGAGCATTCCTTCTGTCTGGAAGGCATCTTTGCTTTAGAATGACAGACTATCTGGCTAGCACATAAGGCCCTAGATTCAATCATAGTAGAGAAAGGAGAAAGGAGGAAATTCTACAGCATACTAAATATTATGAGCTGGGAATACATCACAGTTAGGCTCTTCCCTAGCATACTTGAGACCCTAGGTTCGATATTTAGTACCATCAAAAAAGAAAGACTGAGTCTGATAAGGTTTCCTACATACACAATTTCCTTTGGGGTCATTCATGGTGACAGACACATCACAAATGCCTTTCTTCCCTAGTAAAATAATGATTTCTCTCCCCCCCCCCAGAAATTCCATGAAGAAAGTAATGATGATTCCAAGATGTCTTGAGAACTTGTGGTTCCATGAAGATTACTGAACTGTTATGAAGAACTACGTTTGAGTAAATGGGTAGATTTCCTGGCTGTAAGAATACACCCATGCTGCCTGTTGCAGTAATTCGCCACCAATGTGCTTTTTGTTTCTAGTAACAGTGATGACTGAGAATATGTTTAATTTTCCAGCTGACAGAATTGTTGCTTTTTTCCTAGGTTTTTAAATGCAAGGCTGGGCCTCTCAGTTATTATTGCTATTAGAAAATCATATTTGTTGTGTTTACTTACATTTTTATTTTCTTTCCTGTATTTTAGTCATGGAATGGCTTAGGACAAAGTTGAGTAATGACTAAGGCTGTGATTTTGTTGATGTTAAAAAAAAAAAAAAAAGTATGTTGGCCAAAGTGAAGGAGTTTCTTTCAGTTTTTATGGAGAAGCTGAAGGGATAACTTACAAAAGAGTTGTATTAAGAACTCTGCGATCCGAGGACTACTCATCACATACGTGTAGGTGAAATGCTTTCAAAACTGGAGACAGCTGGAATGTTACTAAGTTCATTTTTCAGAGAGTTGTTAGTTCTCTGTATTTCTACTAAGGGATTTAGCCATAACTGCATAAAAATATTTTGTTCTATGAAAATGAAGGGGGTAATATATGACATTATGTTCTCTTATCTCCTTCAGTAGTTTAAACTGACAATAATTTGAGTCTGTTTTCTTCTTACCAGCGTTAGGCTAGTGTTCCCATTTTATATGCTTCTGTATTGTTTTCCTCTTTAGTTTTAGACAGCTATTAATATACTACTGGCTTTATGACCCTGTAGTAATTTAGAGAAGGCAACCACATTGATCCAGTGACCTGGCAGTCTCAGCACCTGGCCAGGAATACTCTTTTAGGAATTATTGGGAGTTGATTCCTGAGAAAAAAACAATATTCTCTCTCTCTCTCTCTCTCTCTCTTCCTCTCTCTCTCTCTTCTTCCATGAACGGTGCTGTTCTGAGGTTTTCAAATTTTTCCCTCTAATGAAAAACAATGTAAGTTTTCACTTTACAAACAAGGCAAAGAAAAATTCTCAAACAATTACTTCTCCCTGAGCTGCAGTGACTATAATTCACTTGTCACCTAGTGCTTTACTGTTGAAGTGGTCACTTACTTGATGGTTCCCATAAGCCTTGGGCTTTACAGGGTCTTACCAATGATTTAAAAGGAAGAGTTAACTTGTGTTACATCAATGAGCAAAATTATACACTCCAGAACTTGCATTTGTAGCATTAGTTGTAGAGTTTTGGGTGTTCTTGCCACCCGTGGAGTGCCTACTCCTCACTCCCACCTACATCTGGACACATGCTTCTGTCTCCTTTATCTTTGGCATGTGGAAAGTGTCAATTCAGCATAAGGCCAGTGTGTGTGGCTTCTGTGTGTTCGTATGTTTTGGTATCCTATTTGTTTCTTGTACTTTCTAAGTGTCTAGAAATTAGCATAGGTTTCTTTCCCTTAACCTTAGTTTTCATTTTTTCTCTCCCTATCCCACACATTTGTTGAACTTTGTGGAACTGTGGTGTTGGTTTTGTTTATATATAGTCAGATTCCCCTTTTGTGTCTCTTCCTTTGTTCTTTGACTGTTTTTCTTGTCGTTTGCTTTTTCTTTTTGTCCTTCTTCCTCTGCCCTGGCCCTTCCTTTCTCTCACTGAGAGGCATTGGATTACGTTTTCAGTAGTACAGGCTTCTTGCCGATATGAAGGGAACTTTCCAGAAAGAGACCAACTCTGGTCATTTAATTTTGAAAACAGTTTTCAATCGTTCAAGTTTTGGATGGTTTATATCTAATGTGTGTTTCATTTTTTTGGAAAGCTATATTTTATATTTAGGAAATGGTATACTATTTTGCTATTTGTACTGAGTGAGTACATTGGCATAAATATAGAAATTTATATATATACATATATATATACATATATAAACTATTCTTTTTGCCACACATTTTTGTGGTAAATTTGTGAGTTTGTCTGATGTTCTACCACAACGTGGCGTCTGATAACAGTGAGGGGTTTGTTATGTCTTTATTGAGTATTTAAGTACCTTTTGAAACAAATGGCCTGTTTATCTGTAGCCATTCCATCAGGCAGTTCCTTGATGTTACTAGTGAGCTAAAGGCAACTACTGTGTGTTTGCTGGATCTTCACTCAGCAACGTGTTAAAGAGCAAGGAAACTTAATTGAGGCAGTGTGTCAAATGGTGTTTGACAAGAATGAGCCACTCTGTCTTTGTTCACTATATATTTAATATTTTATTATTGTTGTTGTTATTAATTGGCTTTCTGTATTCTATGCCTTTTATTTATAAAGACACTAAAAATACCATGTTTGTAATTTTAATAACATTTTCCCATCTTTTAATATCCAGAGCTACTTTATAAATTCTCTGAACCAAAACTATTTTCCTCAATATCTCCCTTCTCCCCCACTCCCTACAGGGAAAAATCACCCAACATAGTTCAGGTTATGAGAAGGATCAGCCACACAATTCAGTGCTTCAGCTTTAAAATGTACAATGGATACTAACTAGAGTATTGTCTGGAGCATCATAGAAAGCAGACCTACTTGGTCTTAGAAAAGACAGAAGTCAGTTTAAAACCACATTTACTTCTGAGTTTTCTGAATTACTTTCCGAGATCATGTAGGAGACTCAGAAAATGTTTGTTCACCGAGATCAAATTAGAATGTTTGTTACAAGTGTACCATGGATGAAGTGGCAGTAAGAAGTCTGGCTTGTGTGGTGACTTCTGTTTGTTCTGTATAGAAGCTTATCGTTACAAAATGCTGATTGGCAATGCCAAGTCACTGGGACCAATTTCTGTTTTATAATGTCTAAGTTTAGAACAGAACATCACCTGAACTGTAGTGGTTTGAGTGGATGGAGGTAGAAACCCCCATTTTTAGTCTCATCACTTCTGTGGTTATTTATACAAGGGCTGTGCTGTGCTACTATATTCCTGTTCAATAATGATGGAGGTTTATTTGTTTTCTTACATTGTTAAATGTTCCTCGCCCCTAAAGGTCCATGTTAAGTACAATGTTCTGAGTATATGATTTGGTTATAAAAAGTATTTGTCTTCTTATTGAAGAGTTAGCTCAGTGGTTGATACTTGTGCTAAGAATGCAGCTTCTCAGTTACTGTTACAAGTTATGGCTGCCTGTGGGAAGACTCAGTGAGCCAGCAAAGACCTTGAGAATCAGGATTTATTAAATTTATATTTGGCAGAAGGACCTAAATAAACTGTGAACTACATTTTATTCCTTTGTTACATTCAATTCTTGCTTTCAGCAACTCACAGAAATGCTTGGAGCTTATCTCTCTCTCTCTTTTTATCGTGGGTGACCATGCTTGTGTGCGTGTGTGCGTGCGTGCGTGCGTATGTGTGTGCGCGTGCGCGCGCTTGTTATTCCTTATTGTCATTTCACACCAAGGAGAAGACAGTTAGATAATTTGTTTTGTTTTTTTCAAGACGTTTCTGTGTGTGGCCCTGGCTGTCCTGAAACTCACTCTGTAGACCAGCCTGGTCTCAGCTCACAGAAATCCGCCTGCCTCAGCCTTCTGAGTGCTGGGATTAAAGATGTTTGCTTGGATAATTTGTTCCTAAGATTTGCTGTGTTTTTCTGATTCGAACATCATGTTATTTGTTATTTAGCCAGTATAGGTCTGTCTACCTTGTCTCCTTAGAACAAGTGTTTAAAGGGCTTTGTTTATTATAGCAGTATTAATGAGAGGCCTCTTTCCCTCCCTCCCTCCTTTCCATTCTCCCATCCTTACTTGCCCTCCATCGTTGTATAATGTTATAATTAAGAATTTCATTATCATAGATTTTTTGCCTACCAGAATTTTGGCTAATCTACCCAGAAAAAATAGAAGGAAGAAATTGTGCATATGTCCCTTCAGAATGGAAATAATTCCTTTTGACCTTTTTGAATATTTGTGTTTTATTTTTTCAATGAGGTTGCACTATGCTGTCCACATACTGGGCTTGCAGGTATCAAGCACCTTACCTGGGCCCCTTTGGCCTTTTTAAGCCATTGTAAATGTTTGGAGAAAATGGAATCAGTCAGCAAATAAAAACCACAATGAAATGACTAATTCTTAAATTCAGCATAGTTGTACATATTCTCAGGGGTTAACCTGAGGATTTTTCTGGTAAAATTTTCTGTTATCCCTGTTTCCTGATTTTTTTTTTAATTAGTCAAAAGTTATGGGAGCTCTTGTAACTTTACTCTGCATCTCAACCATAGGCCCCATCTCTAAGATGTCCATTTTATATCTGCATGCTTTTGGTTATTTGGAGGGGTCAATGAAAAAGAAAAAAAAAACTGTAATTCAGCAGATGTATTAGAACAGTAGCTCAGGCCTGGGGGTGAGACTCGGGTAGAGAGTTTACATATCATATGCAAGGCCCTGAATTTGATCCCTAGCACCACCAAAAGGGAGAGAAAAAGAGCTTGGGTATACACACTAGCAGGAGGATCAGCACTCATCCATAGTACATATTGAGAGCTTTCCCCTTCTGCCTGCTTTTGTCACTAGAGCTAAACTGTGGAGGTGGCATTCATGATGCAGGAGATTGACTCTCTACAGTATCATTGATAAATTGTCCCAGTGCCCTAATTACTTTTTAACTCTCTGTTTTCATGCCATTCTAAGCCTTGTATATTAACAAATTCTGTTTTTACTGCTCTTGCTCTTTCAGGCAATTTTTTACATTAGTATTTTATATGTATATTAAATGTTTATGGAAAAGTGCCTTTTTACCATGCCAGTGCACCCTTCTTATAATTCCACCTTCCACTGTTGCCAAAATTATATGAACAACTTGTTTTAACAGGTCCCAACCTGTACATTCTTCATTTGACCATTCTTTTCTCCATTTCTTGGTCACGATAGAAGAAAACTTTGTCAGTACCTTTGACTTGAAAATAACAGAGAAAGTGCTTTGGCAGAATTGCTTGGAAAGTAAGTATATACTATTCAGGCTTACATGAATCAACTCTGATTTTCTCATCCCAACAAATTATAGCTGGGTCTTACCTGAACAATAATAAAAATTTGGCTGTGTGTGAGATTCCATGCACTCAAGTGTGTGTGTTTAATGTTATGAAGACACTACTCATAGCATCTTCTCTGGTCCTAATTAGCTGGGTGAAAAGCAGTCGTTAAAACATAGGTTGATTCTTTTTTTATTATTTCTTTCCTATCAGAACTTTAGTAGTTAATTGGCCATGGAAAGCTTAGTGTCAGAAACAAATTAGGAAGAGGTCATTTGAGTCCTGGGAGAGCTAAGGTAATTTCTTAGTGTCAGACACAGCTAGATTGAGAGTCCTGGTTTTACCATTTTGTTTCTGATCTAGCTCCTTACCAAATGGTGGCACTTGAAGAAGGGCTATCAGCCACAAATTAAGGACAGTAGCAACGTAAACTTTGGAGTATAGCTCTGTTCCCCAATGGAAGTATTTTTGAGACTATTGGTGGATTGAAGATGGCAAACTTGTATGCAACATTCTTAATACCCTATTGTGCACTTTAATCATTCCAAGGAAAGCCAAGAATTCATCTTAACTGTTCATAGTACTACATCTGTTTTTATTTTGAATAGCTGGCTTGGTGTGTTAGATGAGTGCTTTATAAAGTGACTTGGAATAAGTATGAAGTTGCTATTTTCTAAAGGATTTTTTGTTTGTTTTGTTTGTTTTTCAAGACAGGGTTTCTCTGTAGCTTTGGAGGCTGTTGTCCTGAAACTTGCTCAGTAAACCATACTGGCCTTTAACTCACAGAGATCCCCCTGCTTCTGCCTCCCTAGTGCTTGGATTAAAGGTGTGAGCCACCACACAGCACAGCTCTAAAGGACTTTTCAGACTTTGAAATGTAGTGTTGGGAAATGACTGTACTTTAGCAAATCATTTTAAAATAGTAAAATGTTTGACTGGCTGATGAGTATGTTGGAGAGCTACTTAGAACCATTCCCCTTCCTGTGTATTTTATGTCCCTTATGTAAGAATGGTATAGTGTATAGTTTCAGTGTGGTTTATGTAAACCAGTTTGGTCCTCCATCCACCCAGCAGCTAGCATCAGTGTGAGCAGGAAACTATTTAGAGGTGTACATTCTTGGGCAATAGCCCAGGCTTGCTGAATTAGATCTGAAGTGTGGTGTGGTGCCCAGCATTCTGTCTGACCCAAACCCTCAGGTGAGTCCGATGCACCTGAGTTTGAGAGCCTAGTGAATTCTGGAGCCTTTCTTCCCCACTCTTAGAGATTCCTTCTTTATCTATGTTCAGCCTTACCTCATAATCTGTGATCATTTATCAACATTGGTAATTTATTCCCAGTACTGCCTAAGAAATGTATATGTTTTATGTATATACAGTGTAGTTAATGATAATTCATTTAACTTAGTTTGGCATTTTCCTACCACTGACTAAAAAGTTTACATCAACTGACTGATTTCAATATATATATATAGGTGCAATGTTCTGTATTTCTTTAATTGTTGTGACATTTACTTAGCTAAAATAATTGATGGGTGCTACAGTCTCCTGTTTATGCATAATATGGGTACATTGTGGGCAGTGCAATACAAGCTTTCTCTTCATTGCCTCTTACTTTACCAGCAGACCACGGTTTTGCTCTGGCTAGACCAGCTCTCAGAACAGAATTACCATTCCTTATTCTTTTTTGTATCTGAGATAGTAAATCAGATGGCTGGCCAGGCCAATGTAGCACCCTGTTTAATTTCTTCTCTTAGCTGGTAAGGATTCTTTTCAAGTAGCTTACTTGGCATTTGAATGCTGCAGTAGTGATGGTTCTCCTTGGAACTCATGCTTCAGGTGAAGTACATAACAAAATAACAAGACAGTATATTTTATAACGTGGGTATTTCTCCCTTCTCAGTTGTGTGCATCCTAACAAATAAGCAGGTTTATTCATATTTTCCTTTAGAATTCAGCACTTCCATCATTAATCTTCCTTCCACTGTTTACAAATCAACTGATGAGTTAACTCATGAAAGATTCACTTTTCAGAATAAAACTAAATGAATACTTGCTTTCTGAGAATCACTGCTCTCTGTCCCACACTAGCAGTGCTAAGTGGCTTACTCTACAAACTGGTGCTGGAAAGTAAGTAGGCAAACTGTTGGGATGTTCTAGAGATGCCCTTCCTCCCCTCCCCCGCTTGATTACATCATCTGTTGATAGACCCACAGCATTGTACCCAATTTATTCAGTCCCAGTTTGTAATACCTCCCTTAAAAATCCTGCATTCAACCATGTCACCCCTACCTGCTCTTTCACATTCCTCCCTGCACCTAGAACACTTCCCAGGAGTAATATGTATAGTTTGTAGGTGTGGCTGTTACTTTATATATTTTAGCTAATGAGCCTTAGGACAGCTTACACTCACACATAATCCCAGATGCTTGAGAGTAGGTTTGGAATCAAACTTCTATGACCAATAAAAAGCTGTCCTGGCTAGAGTTAGAGCTAAATAGTTGGAGCCCAAAGGGTGCAATCCCCAGTGAAAAAAAGAGAGTAAGAGAGAGAAACAGGGAGAAAGAAAAGAAAAAGGAGCTGTCCTGCACCAAAGTGATCACGATTCCACTCATTAGAGACCTTCTGCAGTGCAATTGAACTAACTCCTTCTGTCTAATGACTATATCTGCTCACCTTGTTCCTTCCAAGGATAAGCTCCAAGTGATTGCTGCTTTCCTGGCAACTTGACTGAGTTTCATACTCTTCTTTTACTTCGTGTTTTAATAAGTAACTTGGAATACTTCATTAACCTGTTCTCAAGTGATTTAGCTGCCATTCTGCCATTTTGAGTTTTTATTTAATTTTATTTGCTTGAGCACATTGATCAACCACTGACCTGCCTTCTTGCATTGTCCTGCAATGATGTAAGAGTGACATTTGTGTATATGGCTTCATAGTTGGAATTTCAGAGCACTGACACCAGATATTCTCAGTTTGTTCTCTGGGGGAATTTCATTTGCATCTATGTTTTTAGCTATCTGTGATAACTTGTTAAATATTAAAAAGATATTTTGCTTCTATTGGAACATTTGTATACTCGCAATTATATTTCTGTAAACAGCTGCAGTCAAAAATAAAACATTGAAAGTTTTCATTTTGCAGTGGGTTGTCATCTTTTTTCCTTAGACTTCCTGTTAGCCTGAATGTATTCACATTGTGGAAAGTGGCTGAGACAGGAGACTGTTAAAGAGGTGATAGAAAGCAGAGGAAGGAACCTTTTGAGTCATTTTGTACATACCATCTTGTCTGGCAGAATGCTCAGTATGTTAGTGTGGCCAGATTTCTCCTTAATTGTTCATACTGAGTACATACGTAGATATACACAGAGGGGCTCTCAGTGAAAACCACTGTCCCCTCCTTCAGCTCCTCACTCAGAGGCCATCTCTTTTCTGCTAGTTGCTTCTAATTGTATGAACTGGTATTTATCAGTAAGCAGAGTGTAGCTAGCTACTGGTAGATCTCAGTGATCTTCCATGAGATATGCACAGATAGTTCTAAGGGCTCATGTGTGAGGGACTCAGCATGTAGCTTATGATAAAAGTACTCACTTAACATGTGCAGTTCCCTGGTTTCAGTTCACAGCATCTCAAAATAGTGTCAACTAGCCAGATGATGTGGGAAAGAGTGAGTCAAAGAAAAACTAGATAAATTACTGATTTAGGTGATACAAGGATATCATGAGTATAGTATATAAAGAACAATCTGAGACTGCCTCAGCAGGACATGGTGGTACACACCTTTAATCCCAGCACAGAGGAAGCAGAAACAGGCAGATCTCTGATTTCAATGCAAGCCAGTAAATTGTATGCCAAAAGATGAGGATCCCACCACCCCAATAAAAGCCAGATGTGATATACATCTAGCTCCAACACTGGAGAGACAGGGCTCTAGATTCATCCCTAGAGCTCATTCACCAACAGCCTAGCTGAATCTCTGAGCTGCAGGCTCAGTGGAGAACCTGACTAAGAAATTGAGCAATCAAGATGGACACCTGAAGTCAACTTCTGCCATCCACACACAATAGCTGCACTTGCATATACACACAGATGTATAAACACTACACATGTACACGTAAAACCACAGAATGTTAATGTTTGGCATTAATAAGCTTAAACAGCACTGGAAAGGTATAATAATCAAATGAAAAGGTGCCTGGGCTGGGCATTGGTGGCGCATGCCTTTAATCCCAGCACTCAGGAGGCAGAGGCAGGTGGATCTCTTGAGTTCAAGGCCAGCCTGGTCTATAAAGCTACACAGAGAAGCCCTGTCTTAAAAACGGGAAAAAAAGGGGAAAAGGTGGCTGGAAAGATGGCTCAGCAGTTAAGAGCGTCTGCTGCTTTGCAGAGGGTCCTAAATTTGGTTCCCAGCACCCATATCAAGCACCTCACAAACTGCCAGTGACTCCAATTCCATGGGATCAGACACCCTCTTCTGGCCTCTGCAGGCACCTCTATGCGTACGCATATACACATGCATACATATAATTATAAATAAAATTAGTCTTTGAGAAACAAGGATCACCACTATGGCTCATTGTCTCATAAGCCTGACAACCTGAGTTCAATCCCCAGAACCCAGAAAAAGAGGTGAGAGCTAACTCCATAAAGTTGTCCTCTGACCTCCATAAATTCACCATGACATGAATGCACAAACACAAGTATAAAAACAAGGGTTCAAGTTTGGTCCTGTGTGGAGCCTTGACTCCCACACTGCTGATCAACCATTCACCAATTTGTTTTTATGTAAAGGAGACTGTCCCTTAAGGTCTGTCACCAGAGTTAAGCCAGTTAATATGTGTTAGTTAACTTAGTTCCTGGTTCACAGTAAATACACAATATTAACATTACTAGTCCTGATGCCATCCTGTTCTGTTGTCTCATACCCTAAATATCATTTCCCTTTATTGGAAGATCCAGTTGTATGACATGGTAATCATACTCATAAACTCACAGCAGCTAAGATTTTTTGCATAAGATCAAGCCAGCCAATGTTCCAGTACTCCAGGCCTCACCCCTTACTGTGGTACTGTTAGCAGTTGCTAGCTGCTGGGGGAGGGAAGGATCATTCTTTTTGAGAGTGCTCCCACTGGTAGATTTCTCATGCTCCAGAGGAAGACCCCACACCCATGCATACACAGACAACACTAATTAGACTCTATGGGTTAGCACGAGCATACACACATACACAAATAGAATAATGCAGGAAGTTGTGAGAGAGGCTTGTTGGAAGGAGTTGGAGGGGGATGTTGAGGGGGGGAAAATATTTCATTGTATATGTATGAAATTCTCAAGAATAAAATTTATTTAAAATGGGTATGATATTTCATTGTATATGTATGAAATTCTCAAGAATAAAATTTATTTAAAAAAAATACAGTCCTTTAATTGTCTTTAGCACCAAGGGTCTCTATTATCCCATTGGTATGTAAACCTCTTAAAACATAAGGCAAGAGCTGGGGAGACAGCTCTTGGTTAAAAGCAGTGACTGTCCTTTCAGAGGTCCTGAGTTCAATTCCCAGCAACCACATGGTGACTCACAACTCCTGTAATGAGATCTGGTGCCCTCTTCTGACCTGCAGGGACACATGTAGGCAGAACACTGTATATATAATAAATAAATTTTTTAAAGGAAGAAGAAGAAGAAGAAGAAGAAGAAGAAGAAGAAGAAGAAGAAGAAGAAGAAGAAGAAGAAGTTCTTTAAAAAAAAAAAAAAAAAAACAGGCAAAAATTCCTGGCCCCAAGTGCAGTCATCCAAGAGCCAGTTTCTGTTTAGTTTACACAGTGTGTGTGTTAAGGTTTCTATTGCTGCCATTAAACACCAGGCCAAAAGTAACTTGGGGAGAAAAAGGGTTTATTTTGGTCATAGTTCCAGAAGTCAGGGCAGAAACTCAAACGGGACAGGAACAGGAACCTGGAGGCAGGACCAGATGCAGAGGCCATGGAGAGGTGCTGCCTACTGGCTTGTTCCTCATGGCTTGCTCAGACTGCTTTCTTACAGAACCCAGAACCATCAAATGTGAGGTGGTCCCACCCACAGTGGGCTGGTTCCACATCAGCCATTAACAAAGAAAATGTACTGTAGGCTTCCCACCAGGCTAGGCTGGTGGGATTTTCTCAGTTAAGGTTCCCTCCTCCAAAATGATTCTGGCCTGTGTTAAAATGACATGAGAATTAGCCATCACAGCCTCCCTTCTGAGTCCTGACTCAGGTGTAATTTTTTATTGCTGCCCTTCTGCCCTTTTCTCCTGGATGCTTGCCAGAGCCTAAGCATACTTTCCCTAATATTTTGTCTTTCTTACACTGTCTCTGAAGTTCCCCTCCCATTGAAAGACCCCCGGAGGCTCAGGCCCCCAGGATCTCAGCCCAGGACTTCAGCCACCCCAATCACCAGGCAGAGGCAAAAGCTTGATGCAAACAGCACGAGGCTTTATTGTAGTTGTTTAATGAGCTAACCCCATGTTAGCTTGAGCCTTTCACCCATCCACCATGGCAGGTGGCTGGGAAAGATGCTGCGAAGCCACTGCACAGAGATCTTGTAGGGCAGCGTAAGGGAAGTGTCTAGGGGTACGCACAGGCTCAGGATTGGTGTGCCTCCAGGCTTGAAGGGCTTGCCCTGTGTTGATTGGTCAATTGGTTGTTATGGCCCATAGGCCCTCCCAGGATGGTTAATATGCTCTGTGTGCCATTGCTGTGCACTTGTCTGTAAAGCACACCCAGAGCCAGAAAGCACAGCACCACCAGCTAACTTCTGATTGGTTCCTTGCCACGAGGCAGGCATCTGACCTCCTAGTGACCAAGACAAGATCAGGGCAAGCACATGTTACTGTCATGGCTGCTGAAAGGGGGAGGCATCTGACCTCCTAGTGACCAAGACAAGGTCAGGCAAGTACGTGTTCAGCTGTTATGGCTGCCAAAATGGGGAGCTGGTCCCTTCACCATTTACCATGCAGTTCATATCATGGCCAACTTCCATGCTTAACTCAAATGGCATGGCTCTCCCTTCCTCCACCTAGAAATCTATAACAAACTTCTCTCTAAAACAAACAAACAGGGCTGGAGAGATGGCTCAGAGGTTAAGAGCACCGACTGCTCTTCCAGAGATCCTGAGTTCAATTCCCAGCAACCACATGGTGGCTCACAACCATCCATTATGAGATCTGGTGCCCTCTGCTGGTGTGCAGATGTACATGGAAGCAGAATTTTATATACATAATAAATAAATAAAATCTTAAGGAAAAAAAAACAAACAAACAAAATTAATAAAATCCCTTCCATTGGTGTAATATCAACAACATCCATCCCTTCTCCTAAGGTCCTAGCATGTACAATTTTACCAGCATTCACTGAGGGAAACCAGTGAATTTATGAGGCTTATTTACAGAGCAGTGGTGAGTGGTTATGGACAGAAGCATAGGTGACTTTAAAGTAGCCACACTGGAACATCTGCCCCTGGTGGGGATGATGACTTTCCCCAGGACTGCATAAATTAATGTTCTTCTGAATCTGTATCCTCTAGCCTCTCTCGAGACTACATGCATTTATGTTAGAATTGTTTACAACTGGGAGGAGTGGCTAGATAGGTGAAGGTCTCATGACACCCCTCCTTGCCATAGACCCTCCTTTGAAAGAAGGTAAAAATAGTCAGCAAGCCCTGTTGTGAGTCTCTCTTGCAAGCAGGCCCAGCAGAACTGAAGATGGTGACAGTCTGGCCCTGAAGATAGCCTGTTTCAGCATCTGGTGAGTAATTCTCTGGGACCACTTCTCTTCTATGTTGTTTTCACTCTCTCCAGTCTCCTCGAACACACCCAGCAATTATCATCCCACTCTACTGAAATAGCCATTGTCCAGATCACCAAGCAGTGGTTTCTACATGGTGGACCCTGGTGGTGTGTTTTCAGGCCTCATCTTACTTGGCTTATCTACAGTTTTTGACACACCCAAAGCTCCCTCCTTGGCACACTTTCTTCAGTTGGCTTTCAGGATGGTACAATCTTTTCTCTTGTTTCCCCAGTGTGAAGGAGAATTCCTGGAAGAAGCTGTATCTGCCAAGGCTGTTTTATGAAAACTTCAATGACTATGAAAAGTTTGGGGTGCT